CAGGTGTACACCACAGTGGCTAGACAATCATACACCTTTCAAAGTGTTTCCCCGATACCTCAAATACCCATCTTGCACTACACATAGTCACTACAACACTATTGACTATATTTCCTATGCTGTACCTCACATCCCCATGATTATTTTGTAACTACTATTTTGTACTTCTTTCCCCAATTTTAATTCTTTCATTTGTATGTACTTGAAATTTGAATATGTGTAGGATTTTTTTTTTTATTTACAATTTATTTATTTACAGTTTTGCAGTTTGTGTAGACTTTGTAATTTTTTGTTTGTTTTCTCTTACATAGCAAATAAGAATTTGATTGTGAAATGACATTAAAATAAAAATTGAAATGCAGACTGTCGACATGTATAAATTGAAATGTCGACAGCAGAATAGATTGCTTAGTCTTAGAAAAATAATCAATCTTTTACTGTTATTGAATTGGTATACTTAACTAAAATGCTGTGCAGTTTTGTTCTAATTTTATATGGCTTTGCATTTGGAAGCTCTGAACACTGTAATTTCAGGGGCCAGAAAGAGAAAACTCTTTGCTAACAGTTTTCCCCCAGGCTTCCTGAAAAGTTTATGAGGAAGAAGGTCTGCTCTAATCCCTAATGAAAGAGTTTTATAATACAGTCAATCATAATCTGGTTGGAAGAAGTATTACTCATTTACAGAAGCTATGTTCTAGGTTATTAAAGTTCAGATAAAGTAATTTTTTTGTTTGTTTTGCTAACATTACAATTAGTTCTGTTACATATAACTTACAGACTGTTGATTCTGAAAAGTGCATATTCCAATGTTTAGCTGGATTTGGAGTTCTGTTAATAGTCATTGTTTCTATGGAGATTTTATTCCATTGTCCTTTGGCTTCTATTGCTGTGTAATATGTAAGTCTAATTTCATTCCTTTGTAGGTAATTTTGTCTGCTGTTTTTAAGAGCTGATTTGTATCTTTTGAGTTACACAGTTTTACTACACATATGTTTCTTTTCATTTATTATGTCTGGATTTTTTTTGCCCTTCTGGAATTGGAAGATTCATATCTCTCAACAGTTTTTGAAAGTTCTCATCCATTATCTCATCAAATATTAACTTTCTTGGTTCTTTTTCTGTTCTCAAATTTCCATTTGACTTGTTGGACCTCATTCTCTCCTTCATGTCTGTTAGTTTTTCTTTTATGTTTTCCCTAACATATTTTGTGCTGCAGTGTCAGTTTTTTTTAATCCTCATCTGAGGATATTTTTTCATTTGTCTTCAGATATAGTAGGAGGATGGGGGTGGGGGAGAGAGAGACATCTATGTGAAAGAGACACATTGGCTGGTTGCCTCCCACAGGACCTCTATCCCGACCAGGGCCAGGGAGAATTGAGGTGCGTGCCCTTGATTGGAATTGAACACGTGTCATTGCTTTATAGACCGGTGCTCTTACCGTTGAGCCAAACTAGCCACGGTGGCAGTGTCAGTTTTTAATCAGATCTTTCTGTTTGATAATATTTCAACTGTGTATGATAATCATTCCATTTAGGTTTTTTTTTTTTAATTCTCACCCAAGGATATTTTTGCAATTGTCTTCACATAGAGTGGGAAGGAGAGAGGAAGGAAGAGAGAGAGAGAAACATCAATGTGAGTGACACACATGATTGGTTGCCACCCGCACAACCCCAACCGGGGCCCAGGAGGAACTGCAACTGAGGAATGTGCCCTTAGCAGGAATCGAACCCCGGACTTCCCGGTCCGCGGGTCTACGCTCTAACTGTTGAGCCAAACTGGCCAGGGCGCCATTTAGTTTTTAATGGCTCTGTATTTGTGTATGCGCATATGTGTATGTATGCTCACACAACTTAGTTTGTTCAACTCTTAGTTGCTCTGGTCTTTTATAAGCGTGTTTTATTCTCTTTCTGTGTGCGATTTCTTTTTATGCTTCTCATAGCTGAAAAAATTTTTAAAAACATGTTTTTATTGCTTTTTTTTTTAAAGAGAAAGGAAGGGGATAAGATAGAAATATCCACGTGAGAAACATTGATTAGCTGCCTCCTGCACGCCCCCTACTGGGGATTGAGCCTGCAACCCAGGCATGTGCCCTGACCAGGAATCAAACTGGGACCTCTCAGTCCATAGGATGACACACTGGCCAGGTTAAAGTTGCCTGTTAAACTTTTTCAGCATGTCCTTTAACCATTGTCCTCTTTGGTTCATCTTTTTCTCAAATTATAAGTGATATTTATAAGTAAAGGCCACTACCTTCGTCATTTTTTTAGGTTAATCACTAATTTTTTGCTTACTTTTAATTTATTTATATTTTTCTTATAAATTTTTTTTAGAGAGAGAATGGAAGGGAGAGGGAGAGAGATAGAAACATTGATGAGAGAGAACATTGACAGGCTGCTTCCTGCATGCCCCCAACTGGAGATTGGGCCCAACAACCTGGGCATGTGCCCCGACCTGGAATCAAACCGGCGACTCTGCATGGGTTAATGCTCAACCAGTTAGCTACACCTGCTGGGCACTTATTTTTTGCTTAAAATAAGACTTTGATTCATATATAATTGAGGGAGGGACTTAATTCCCCACTCCTCACCCACCCACCCCCAAATAGCTGTCATTTGTGCCAGTACTACTACTTAAATCTTTTCCTTTTTACTGATTTATTTGCAATGGCTTGTTGATTATATGCTAAAGTTTTATGTGTTTGGGGGCTATTTCTCTTTGTGTTTATTTGACTCTTCTTGGGTAAGGTTTTAAAATTCTTGTTTCATAAGTGAAGATTTTTCATTAGTTCCCTTAGAATTTTTGGATAGTATTTTACATTCTTGTGTTGTCATTTCCATTTCATGTTTAGTATGTGAAATGATGTTTTTAAGTATGATGTCTATTCTGGGAATATGCAAGAATAAATATAACATTTTATCCCTTTAGTATTTTCATTGATGAGTGACCTAAAGTGATGCATCTAAGAGTTATTTTTATCAACCTGTTATGTTCAACTTTAACACCCTATCCAAACTTTTCTAAGGGATGACACATTTTGAAGTTGGTTTTCTGTTTGCTGGTTAATTTAACAGATACCAGACACCAGTTATTAGGACTACCTTGTGGTAGTGGGATTGACATACTTGCTGAACTTAGGACAGATACAGGGCCACAGGGAGAAGTTACAGGGAGATAAGTTTTTAGAGCAAAACTATAAAGAATGTTCTGACATTTTCTGAAGATATAAAAGGGGCTTATGGAAGGGTGCACATCCCTGGTTTTTAAGTAGAGGCTCACTGACCATTCATCTGGGTCTGATCTTTGGGTGACTAGTAGGATTAAATGGCCCTTTCAACCTAGTAATCTTATGAACAAGAAAAGCAAGGTCAAGATTGTGATTTTTTAGGGGGAAAAAGTCTTCTGTATTGGTATAGCTGTTTTATAGTTACTGTATTATTCATGTGGGTTTCAGGTTGTGATGTTAATTTTTCAATAATTTTAATGATTTATGTTCTTTGGAAACCGATTTTATTTATTGATTTGAAATGCTGTGTATATAAAGTATGTAAAGTTTTTGGTATTGAAACTTTTAATTTGTCTAATTAAATTACAAGTTTGATTTCTTTACAGAATATATTTTTAACCAGAAAATATCATGTGGAGGAGTTTCTTTAAAAAATTAAATTTATTGGGGTGACATTGGTTAATAAGGTTACTGTGAAAGTGTTTTTAAATAAGTAATGTCTTTTCTTGTGGAAAAGGACTTGTTTGGGCTTGATGGATGGGAAAGCAAAAGTGTGCAAGATATTGGTGTAACTTTCAGCAACTATCATTTCAGTTTCTTGGAGAACCTCTTCAAGCTGACTTATCTTTGTTTTTAAAGGATAAATAAATTTGGTTAAAAAAAAATAAAGTTTCATGTGTTGTGACTTGATACCCAATGGATAAATTAAATTTTTAGTCATCTCTGGCATTAGTTAAATTTGTTTCAGATTGGAGTAGTACTACTATAGAATGGCTATTGCTGAAATATCTTAAAGAATGTGGTAATAAGATGTGAGTCATAGAAATAACTATGTGTTGCAGTTTAAAAGGAGAAATTGCACCACAGCTTTGAGATTTCAGTGTCGTCTCTCTCAAGTTAATTTTAGAAAAGCTGTTGTAAATTGAGTTTCCATGTCAGGCAACAATGTTTGATTTATTAGATTATCTTGTCTTTTGATTATTTTGAATCTTTTCCTTCTTATTTTAAAAGATAATTTTATAATTGTATTTGGACTTGGGCCATTATACTTTTGGTGTAGTGACTAAATAGAGAATGGAAATTTAGACCTGAGTTTTTATATTTTGATGGTTGTTTTAGGAAATGATTAATACTTTGTTTTTCTCATTTGTGTCTTTCTCTTACTGATTTGTAGAATAAAAATTTTAAAATTTCTTATTGCAGATATATGCTTGTAAGCTTTTGAACATATATAACTGTATAAAATAAGGCATGTCTACTCATTTTCTTGTTTTCTTCAAGTACTTTGTCTTATATTTACAGTTTTAATCTGTATGGATGTTTTTCTTTGATCTGAATGATTCAATCTTTCCTCTGCTGATTTGAAGTGGTACTTTTAGTGAATATACAGTGTGTTGGTAATAGTTAATGCTGCTTGATTTCTGTATATAGTAATATCAACATTATACAATAAAAGAAAAGATAAGCACTAATAAACTATCAAAAGTGGATATTTGGGGGAGAAATGGATGTCTAAGTTATTTTCCTCTTATTAGGATCTTTTCACATGATTGAAAACTGGAAAGATATGTTCTACTCTTTTCTAAATACTACATATTTTTCTCTCATAGTGTATTTAAACTGTAGTTGGTAAAGTAATCAAGTATGTGATTTAAACAAGTAACCTGATTAGATTTGTAGATCAGGTTAGATCTGAGATACCACTTGAAACAGCAGGGGTTTTGTGTGTTTAATTTTTAAAAGACTAAGGTTTTTTTTTTTTTCCTTTCCCATTTAGGTTTTATAGGATCACATTAGCAAAAGCATGATGGAGTTTTATGAGTCAACATATTTTATTGTTCTTATTCCTTCAGTAGTTATTACAGTAATTTTCCTCTTCTTCTGGCTTTTCATGAAAGAAACGTTATATGATGAAGTTCTTGCAAAACAGAAAAAAGAACAAAAGCTTATTCCTACCAAAACAGATAAAAAGAAGGCAGAAAAGAAAAAGAATAAAAAGAAAGAAATCCAGAATGGGAACCTCCATGAATCCGATTCTGAGAGTGTACCCCGGGACTTTAAATTATCTGATGCCTTGGCTGTAGAAGATGAGCAACTTGTACCTGTTCCACTGAATGTGATTGAAACTTCTAGTAGTATTAGAGAAAGAAAAAAGAAGGAAAAGAAACACAAGCCTGTACTAGAAGAGCAGATCACCAAAGAAAGTGATGTATCAAAGATTCCAAGCAAGAAAGTAGAACCTGTCCCAGTTACTAAACAGCCCACTCCCCCCTCTGAGGCAGCTGCCTCAAAGAAGAAACCAGGGCAGAAGAAGTCTAAAAATGGAAGCGGTACTATAATCTATTTAACTTTATTAGATGATTGTATTTGTTTTAATAATTTTAGAGCTTGAAAATCAGATACTTTATTAGGTGTGCACACAAAATGCTAAGTCTGAAACAAGGATCATTAACCTTTTTACTGTGTGTTTGCTTTCATTAACACTAATTGCTGAGAGACATAATTAGTATTGATCATAAAACAGCATTTAAATTAAACTTCATGTTTTAAATATTGGAAAGACCTTTAAAAGAAATATATAAAATCAAACTGTTTTACTAACACCACTAGGGACCTGTAAGTACCAGCAGTTAGAAACTTTTTCATTGATTTCAACCATTACTTTCTAATTGTGAAAAGATAAATCAGGTATCTCTTTTCACCCTTGATTGATTTTGAAAACATTTAGTATACATCTGTTTTATGGTAAGCATTATTATACTAGGTGCTAGGACTGTAGAGATTAATAGTGCATTTTCAAGGTATGCATATGTAGACACAAACAAATATTATAAAATAAAAAGTTTTGAATAATGATCTGTGTATACCTAAACCAGTGTAGGAGTTCTGTATTGGCAAATTAGATCATATAATGACTGAAGTTAATTGAAAAGGTTGAGTAAATACTAGCTAGTTTATTTGGATGACAGGGAAGGGGGGGAATAGGGTATTATAAGAAGAGGGGAGAAGGACATATAAGCCAATAATAAAATGTGACTTATATAAGAGATATATACAGTATAGAAGAAGTACAGAGCCTTAACAACTACTACTTATGGGGACCAGGGGCAAAAAGCTTTACAGAGGAGGGAGTGCCTAAGCTGGGTCTTCCAGAGTGTATCACATCACCAAGCAAATGGTGGGGTCTCATTCCACATTGGCAGAATATCATGTGTAAAGGCACAAAGGTGTAAGAGCACAGTATACTGTTGAACCATGAGGTGTAGAGAGTGGTAGGAAACAAAGCTGAAAAGATACACAGTGGTTAGATCATGGTGGTTTTTGTGCTAAGGAGTTGGGTTGTTATCATTTAGCCAATGTTAAAGATTTTTCAAGCAAGTTAGTTTACATGGTCAGATTTATGTTTTAGAAAGATACCTTTGGCTGAACTTGGGAGTACAAATTACATGGAGTACAAATTATATGGGACAGTATTTGATATAGACAGACTAATTAAGAGGTTATTGTTTTCCGAAGTTAAGTTGAAGGACTGAAGTATAGTCATAACAGAAGAAATGGTAGATTAGGAATGGCTGAGAAATGGGATATAAAAGAAGGAGCAAGGCCTGGCCATTGTGGCTCAGTGGTTGAGCTTCGACCCACGCACCAAGAGGTTGCCGGTTTGATTCCTGGTCACGGTTCTTGCCCGGGTTGAGGGCCAAATCCCCAGTCGGGGGGCTTGCAGGAGGTGGCCAATTGATGTTCTCTCTCATTGATGTATGTTTCTCTCTCTCTCTCTCCCTTCCTCTCTCTCTAAAGTCAATAAAAGAAAAAATTTAAAAATAGAAGGAGCAAGTACTAGAATTCTTGACGAAGTTAAAGAACAAGTGTAGAGTAAGAAAGCTACAATGACAAGTTATTAGTGAAAGTTATATATGAGTTTAAAATTTCTGAGAATTCATTCAGAGAATTATTAATTGTATCTTTTCTGATGTCATTATTTTCATTTAATTTTAATATGGTGATTTTTCATTTATTTTTAATAAAGATGATCAGGATAAAAAGGTGGAAACTCTTATGGCACCTTCAAAAAAGCAAGAATCATTACCCCTCCACCAAGAGACAAAACAAGAAGGTACATCAGGGAAGAAGAAAGTTTCATCAAAGAGGCAGAAGACAGAAAATGGTGAAATGTGTAGATATATATTTTATGAATACTAATTGTAGAGAAGTACTCTATGCTAAGGACATTAGAGACCTCACATACTCTTTAATTTCCAGATTAATGTGTACTGTAATAGCTTAATACTAATGCAAGTCCGTAGTTCTCTTTAGACTTGTAGCTTTGTAGTACTTGGACAGATGGGCAGGGTATAAATTTGTGATGAAGTATTTGAAACTTAAATATTAATATTCTCATTCGTAACTAAGTTGTTAAGAATGTAAATAGCATACAAACTCTAGAAGAAAAATATTTCTGAAATATTCTTTTTACTATCACTTAAGGATTATGCTTGAGTGCATTAGCTTGATCTGTCATTACTCTGCATTCCCAATTATTTCCTGAATATAATTTGCATGTATATACTAGAAGCATCCAATTAAATGTGGTGGTGCAATTTTTATATGTTCACAATTACCCAGGAGAAACTTAACTATGAAATTTATGTAGTTTAAACAGTGATTTTCAAGTAATGATGGGCTGTGGTATCAACTAGTGCTACAAAATAGTAAAATTGGAAAAGGAAAAATGAAATTCTGTTATTTACTTTAAAATTACAACATATCAAGCAATTAGGTATAGAAAAATATTACCAAAAAATATTTTATAACATTAAATTTTATGTGTTAAATAAAAGAATTATGCATGCCCAGAAGTTTTTTTTAAAAAGGTAAGAATATAGAGAGGTTTCCATACAGATGTGGAAGTTTGTATCTCTGGCGAACAGAAGCCAGACTTTAATGTTCATGCTCTTAAAGTTCTTCCCATTAAAATTAGGTACAAAGTAAGGAGGCTCCCTTCCTCCAGTTTTAATGTTGTTCTGGAAGTTTTAACCAGTGTAGTAAGATGTGCCAAGAAATTAGAGGTGTAACTGTTAGAAGTGAGAAGATAGGAACAATGACTGATTTTTGTACTTAGCAAGTGAAAGGCGCTCAAGGTTTGGCTCAGCTGTTGGAGCATCGGCCTATGGACCAGAGAGTCCCGGGTTTGGTTCTCGCTAGGGGCATGTACCAAAAAAAAAAAAATTATCAATTGCACTCAGTAAATGACCAACATAAAAAGTTTTTCTTGAGTACTAATTAAATGTGAATGGATTCTTAAGACAGGAGAAAAATGAGAACTAAAATGTAAAGGATGTACTGTCTAAGAAGAAATTTCCAGATACTATTAGAAAGAGATATGCTGCAGATTTTTTTATTATTTAAATGTTTACTGTACTATGAAATAATACTGAACTGGTACTGTGTTTTGACTTGTTAAATGATAAAAGGAATTTAAAGCCAAATTTAGTTAGTGTTAGAGATTTGAAAATAACTGCATTTATCATGAAACTTAAATGTGCTTGCATGTTATTTAATTACTGTTATAAAAATAACTGAGTAATTATAATTTTGTTGAATTTAAATTGCAGTCTTGGTAGATGAACCTCTTATTCATGCAACTACTTATATTCCTTTGATGGATAATGCAGACCCAAGTCCTGTAGTGGATAAGAGAGAGGTTATTGATCTGATTAAACCTGACCATGTAGAAGGAATCCAGAAAATGGGGACTAAAAAACCAAGAATGGAAACTGACAAAGGTAACATAATGCAGCAGTCTATTGTATTGAAAAAACACATTTTTGAGTTCTGATGGAGCTGAGTACATTTTCTCATAGAAATAATGAATTGCGAAAGACTAATAGAACACTGTAGTAAAGGAATTATTGGTAGTTTTCTAGTCCAAACTCAATTTTGTAGATCTGGAACCCTTTGATTTGCATAAGGGCTCACAGCTATTTTGCCATCTGGTGATCTTTTCCCTCCTGTGATTGTATTTTGCAAGATTTATATGCTAATTCATAACCACCTTTTTTTTATAAAATTATTTTTATTTATTTTTGTTACAGATGTTTCTCCTTTTCCCCCCATTAACCTCCTCCTCTCCCCCTCCCCACCCTATACCCAGCTTTGTTGTCTATGTCCATTGGTTATGCATACATGAGTATAAGTTCTGTGGTTTATTCCCCCCCCTCCCCCCCCAGTCTGTACCCTTCTTCCATGTCTCTGGGTCTATTTTGATCATCAGTTTGTTTAGTTCATTATATTCCACAAATAAGTGAGATCATGTGATATTTGTCTTTCTCTGCTTGGCTTGTTTCGCTTAGCATAATACTCTCTAGGTCCCTCCATGTCATCTCAAAGGATAAGAGATCTATCTTTCTTACTGCTGCATAGTATTCCATTGTGTATATGTACCACAGCTTTTTGATCCATTCATCTACTGATGGACACTAGGGCTGTTTTCAGATCTTAGCTATTGTAAATGGTGCTGCTATGATCATAGGGGTACATATATTTTTTCTGATGGGTGTTTCAGGCTTCTTAGGGTATATTCCTAGAAGTGGGATCACTGAGTCAAAAGGTAGTTCAATCTTTAATTTTCTGAGGTAGCACCATAGTGTTTTCCATAGTGGCTGCACCAGTCTGCATTCCCACCAACAGTGTACTAGAGTCCCCTTTTCTCCACACCTCGCCAGCACTAGTTGTGGATGGTGGCCATTCTGACAATGTGATACCTCATTGTTGTTTTAATTTGCAGCTCTCTGATGATTAGTGATGTTGAACATTTTTTCATATGTCTCTTGGCCATTTGCATGTCCTGTTTGGTGAGGTGTCTCTTTAGGTCCTCTGCCCATTTTTTAATTGGGTTCTTTGTCTTTCTTTTGTTGAGTTGTATGAGTACTCCATATATTGTGGAGATTAACCCCTATCTGATGTATCATTGGCAATTATGGTCTCCCTTTCCATTTTGATGGTGGTTTCTTTTGCTGTGCAGAAGCTTTTTAGTTTGATGTAGTCTCATGTGTTCATTTTTTCCTTTGTTTCTTTTGCCTTAGGTGTTGTATCAGTAAAGATTCTGCTGCATATGATGTCTGAAATTTTGTTGCCTACATTTTCTTCTAGGATTTTTATGGATTCACGAGTCACATTTAATTAAGTCTTTTATCCATTTTTGAGTTTATTCTTGTGTATGGTGTAAGTTGGTGGTCTAGCTTCATTTTTTTTTGCATGGAGCTGTCCAATTTTCCCAGCACCATTTATTGAAGAAGCTGTCTTGACTCTACTGTATGCTCTTGCCACCTTTGTCAAATATTAATTGAGCATATTTTCTTGGGTCAATTTCTGGGTTCTCTGTTCTGTTCCATTGATCTATCTGCTGGTTCTTGTGCCAATACCAGGCTGTTGTGATTACAGTGGCTTTGTATATATCCTGATATCTGGTATTGTGATCCCTCCTACTTTGTTCTTCTTTTTCAAGATTGCTGTTGCTATTTAGGTGGTTTTTTTTGTTTGTTTCCATATAAACTTTTAGAGTATTTGTTCTAGTTCTGTGAAATATGTCGTTGGTATTTTGATGGGGATTTCATTGAATCTATAAATTGTTTTGAGTAGTATAGACATTTTGATGATGTTAATTCTTCCAATCCATGAACATGGTATATGCTTCCACTTTTTCTTTCTCTCTTTCTTTTTTCAGTGACCTGTAGTTTTCTGCAAATAGGTCCTTTACTTCTTTGGTTAAGTTTATTCCTAGGTATCTTAATTTTTTTGCTGTGATGGTAAATGGCATTTTTTTAGTTTCTCTTTCTGTGCATTCGTCATTGGTGTATAAGAATGCCGTCAATTTCTTGACGTTAATTTTGTGTCCTGCTACTTTGCCACAACTACCTTTTAAAATTATTTTTTAATAGGCCAGTTTTTAGAGCAGTTTTAGGTTCACAGCAAAGTTGAGTGGAAAGTACAGCGAGTTTTCACATACCCCTTGTCCCCTCACATGCACACAGTGCCTTTTTAAACTTATAATGTAGCTGAAATATCAAGTCTTGGGCTTTTTTGGCTTTAACGGGTAGCAGTTGCTTTTAGAAAGAGTAAGTTGATGCGTAATACTGAGAGCACTCGAGGAATTGAAGTGGGTGAGTCAGATGTCTGATACATGGACTTTTTATTTATTTATTTATTTTTTATTTATTTTTTAATCCTTACCCGAGGACACTTCTCCATTTTTTGTTCAGATAGAGTGGGAAGGAGAGAGAGGAAGAGAGAGAGAGAAACATTTACGTGAAAGGGACACAGAGTGGATGCCACCCACACAACCAACAGGGCCGGGGACAAACTGCAACCGAGGTACGTGCCCCCAGCGGGAACCGAACCCGGGTCTCTCTGAACTGCAGGCCAATGCTCTAACCGCTGAGCCAAACTGGCCAGGGCAACATGGACTTTTTAAAATGTCGGAATTGCTTTTATGTATTTGATTTTTGAAAAACCAGATTTCCTTTTAATAATTATCTTTGAACTTATTATCTGTAAAATTTGGTTTATATGTCATGAGTTTTAAGGTTAAATGAGAATATTTGTGAACATATCTAGTATAGATACTATCACATACTAGAGACTTGAATGATTTTTATTTTGAAAGTAAGGGCATGTACCTCCCGGCTGGGTGTAGCTCACTGATTGAGTATCGACCCATGCACCAAGAGGTTGCCAGTTGAATTCCCAATCAGGACACATGCTCAGGTTGTGGGCTTAATTCCCAGTTGGGGGCTTGCAGGAGGCGGTAAGTTGATGTTCTTTCATTGACGTTTCCCTCGGTCTTTCTCCCTTCTCTCTAAAATCAGTAAAGAAAAAAATATTAGAAAAAAAAGTGAAGGTATATTGTACAGTTTGCCCTCAGTATTGTACAGTTTGAGCAAATTGTCAGTTAATGTAATTATTCAATATTACATTAAAGATGATAAAACATTTTTCTCTCTCTTGATTGGAGTATTTATTTTTGTTTAACCTGCAATGTAAGTCTGTTTTGTCTTGGTTATTGATTTTTCTGGATTGAGAATTCTTGTTTTTTACTTTGCTGAAATTACTGTGTCTTTTAAATGCTAACTGTTTATTTTTCTTTGTTTTTAGAAAATGCTGAAATGAAATTTAAAGATTTTCTTCTGTCCTTGAAGACTATGATATTTTCTGAAGATGAGGCTCTTTGTGTTGTAGACCTGCTGAAGGAGAAATCTGGTGTGATACAGGATGTTTTAAAGAAGGTAAGCATATTTTTGGTTATGGGCATATGTGGAAGCAGTGATTAGAAGTTCACCAAGCAAGACTTCTGTTAGAAAATAAATTATCATCTACTTCCATCCTTCATACCCTAAAGCTTATGGTCACATTTAAAAATTCTAGAATGCCCTCAGAAATGATTTCATATACCCTTACTAATCAATATACTTGATTAGTAAGGTGTCTGAGTCATTTGATGTTTTGACAAAAGCAAATTGCTTATAAGTAAGATGATTTATCTCACTTTAAATTCTTTTGGCTTTTGGCTAAATTGTATCTAGCTATCCTCTAATTGGAAGTATTGAAAGCAATGACAGGTTATTTCTGATTAGTATAGATGGAATATTTTTGTGACTGAAGATGGCACCATTCAAAGAACCTGAGAATCTTGTTCTTGTTTTCTGTGTATGTGTATAATATCACCCTTGTAAAATAAGTGATTTGGATAGTAGAATCATTGCTATGACTAAAATTTGTAAAAAAACCAAAAACAAATTCTGACAAAACAAAACTAAGTGGAGTTAATATTTAATTTCTCATGGGTCTTGTTCACTATATTATGTGTACTATGTCATACTGGGAAAGGTGATATGTTTTCAAGTGTTACTTGTGTAACGTAAGATGACATGGTGTCTGTTAGCCATTATTAGATGATGGTCTTAATTGTTCTTTTAAATAAACACATACACACACCCATACCCACCCACACCCAGTTATCTACTTTAAAACCTTGAGTGATTTTCATATTTTCTTAAAGGATCCCACCTCTACCCCCAGTTCAAGCTATCACCTCTCACCTGATTACCTTCAGTAATCTCCTAGGTGATGTTTCTGCTTTCCTGTTAGCCCTCTAAATTATTTTTTCATACAACGGCAAGGTGACCTTTAAGAGGTCAATCAGGTTAAATTATTGCTTTAAAAACCTTTTGGTGCCTTTCTCTTTGCACTTAGAATATAATCCAAATTCCTTAGCAGGTCTTTGCCGATCTCTCTCTCTCTAGAACCTTATCTCATGGCATTTTCCCTATCCTGTCACTATATTTTGCCCATTCTAGGTCTTTTTTGGTTCCTCTAAGAGCATACCAAGCCTTTTCGTTTCTTTGGACTGTCCCAAACCCTCCCACTCCCTCAGCCCCCCAATTTCTTCCCTTGGCTAATTCCTCTTTCAAGTTTCCACTTAAATATCCTTTCCTCATATAAAGGTAATTTGAATTCCCAGTCTAAATAATTCTCCCTGCTGTTGTTTTTCATAACTATCTGGACTTTTTGTCATAACATGTAACTTAGCATTATTTAAGTCTCTCCATACTTTTAAGTATTTTTTGACAACGTGTTTTATAGATCTATGGCATTTTACAATGTAGTATGCTTGTTTGGACAGTCTTCATGTGGTACCAGCAGTGGCCCAGAGTAAGCAAAGTGTTTGAGGGTTATCAAAGTAAGGGTGATAACTCTGTGACTTTGGATACAAAATTAGATTATTCTGTTGCAAAGAACATTCTTGGAATTCTTAATTGATGAATTTTTCATTTGATGTTTTTTATTTTAATTGGGTAAGTATATAAGAAAAGAATAGTCATTTTATGAGCTTTGAACTCTAGTGACTAGATGGGAAATCAAATTCCCCTTGATAGGTATTTTAGTCAGGCCAAGGAGGAATTGGGGACTGCTAAAGATAGCGTTTTGAAATAGAGTATTTTGAAACCACATATTTTTCCCTTTCCCTGGAACGTTGAGCTTTAGACTAAACTCTTCTTGTTCTGGGTTTCTCATGGAGTGGTTCTATTGTCATCAAAAGGGACTCAGTGCCCTGTAGATCCACTGTATCTGGGAAAGACTAGGCAGGTTTAATTTCTCCCTTTTTTCTGCTAGAGAAACAGTCTTGGTCAGACCTTTTAATGGATTTCAAGGTCCTAGATGTAAATGAATCCCCAATCTAATAAAGACTACTTGAGAGAAAGGGGGAAGATAAATGCAGGAGTACCTGCATAGGCATAGGATATAGATAGAAGAGTTAGAGGACTTGCTGACTAATTACATATGGTACCTAAAGAGGAGTCTAGAATGAATGTTTATTTTGATCATGAGTAACAGGATAGATTGTGGTGACAATAGTATTTGTGAACGCTTGCAGAGGAAGTGAGAGTAGAGGATTGTGAAAAATTTTAGGAAGTTGTTTTAGGTACCCTTTGGGTCATTGAAGTGGATACAATCATTTCACAATTGAATATATGTATATTTCTCTGTAGTTGAAAAATGATTTCAATGAGAGTGATTTAGGCAAGTGATCTACTATCACCAATACATATGGTGAACGTATATTAGACCAGAGAGGATGTGAAGAGGGATAAGAAAGTTAAAGAATGAACCCTGAGAAATATTAACATATTTAAAAGGCAGGGGAAGCCACTACAAAGCGGGAGAAGGAGAAATACCAGGAGACAGTAGAATCACAGATGCTTAGGGAGGGTCAAGAGTTCAGGGATTGGGGGAGAAAAGTCAAAAGGGACATACTTTAGAGAGATCAAGGAGGATAAGGTTTGAAAAACTAGATTTGGTATCCTTATTGAAAACATAAGTGATGAACAAATAGGAAAGCTGACAGTAATGAGCTTAGATTCAAGGGGGAAATAGAGTAAAATCTAGAGGGGTTGCATAGTTAGAGAGGAGGTGTTATGTTGTAGGTGTGTGGGCACATGACTTGTGTTTCAACTACAAGACACTTGTGCTTTACATTTAGAGTGTAGGTTAAAATCCTGGGCCCTGGTGTCACATTTCCTGCATTCAAATCTGGGCTCCGCCACGTTGAGCTTTGTGACTTAGGTTACTTAACCTTAGTGCCTCAGTTTTTCCATCTCTGAAATGGGAATGATAATCAGGTTTTGATAATTAAATGAGACAATATATAGTAGGTGCTTAGAGTTCCTAGCATACAGTAATTGCGTAAAAAATGTTAACTGTTAATGTGATTACTATAATAATATTTTAAAGATTTAATTATTTTAGTTGATAGATTATTCATTTTGTAGTGTTGACCATTAAATACACTTGCTTCAATTACATGAATTTTCAGTTTTAGATTATTAACTGTTTTGGCCCCATGCTACATAATAGGAGGAAGTCTGTTTACTTAAGTTTTCCCCTACCTTCTCTCTTCCTTCCTTCTTTGCTTTAGTTAATTATAGCATTTGTTTATTAGATACTTTTAATATTTAATGTTATTTGTGACTATACTTTTCATGTTTGTTTTAGTCTTAATTCTGTAGTTTAATGGTGGGTTCAAAGCTTGATACCAGTTCTTTTGCCATAGCTTCTGTATTCATCTCTTGGTTGGCTGAAGTTATTTTTCCTGGAATTTCTTCAAGAAGGGCTCATGGAAACTATATTTCCCAAATTCTGGCAAGTTAAATGCTTCTTTGTCGTCTTTATACTTGAATGATAATTTGGTGGAGTATAATGTTTCTGGATGTCACTTTCTTTCCTTGAGAAATTTTCATATTTGCTTTACTATTCTCTACATTCATATTGCTGGACAGAGATCTGAAACCAGCCTGAATTTTGCACTCTTTTCATGTATTTTTGTCACACTACCCTCACAATAAAAACATCCATTGGGTAATCAACTAAGCGTCTGTTATTTATTGGACCTTGCCCGTGTCCATCCTACTGTACAAACATCCAGGGATTCAGCTTCTTTGAAGTGTAGTTGTAATTTGACTATAATATGTCTGGGCATTGACTCCTCTATTAATATTACTTGGGATTAAAGCATGTCTTTTCAATGAGATTCAGTGTCCCTTAAAATAATCAAAATAATGGGTATCAATTAAGTATATATTGGATCTTCTTTGCCTGTTGTCTTTATCTTTCATATTTTAGTCCTAAAAAAATAATGCTTTTGGTTTACTTTTGCTTCTTTATATTTACTTTACCCAGTACCCTCTGTCTCTTACTATATTTTTAGCAGTCTGTCCTTTTCTGTTTGTTGCTTCTATCTGGATGATATTTCTGAGATGGTGTTACTTTTACTTCTGCTTTGGGTTTTGCCAGCTCATATTTTATTTCATTCTGTGGTCTTTTCTCTGAGCTCTTTCTGTGAGTTCTGTTCTTTGCTCTTGTTTTTCTTTCAGAAATGACAACTATATTAGATTTTTAAAAATCATAGTGATATTTTTTTCATTACAATTTTTGTCTATTCTTTGACAGTCTTTTTCTGGTGATTTTTCTTCACTTGCCATTTGTTTTTTATTATTTTCCTTTCTTTTTTTCTTGTATCTTGTATAGACCCTGTTTTATTTCTTTTTCATCAGTACTCCTCTTCCACTGAGGGGTTCCTCTTGGATCATCTCTGTGCCTGGAGATTGATAATGAAGGAGCAAGGCTAACTGGTGAGAGCTCTGAATCCTAACCACTAGACCACCGGGGAGCAGCAATGAAGACTAACTGGTGTTCTTGGTGGGCTGTGTGTGTAATTGAGTTCTTTGAGCTTTTCCTTCTTCCCAGATAAAAGCTTCATTATGAAGAGTTTCACTAGAGAATCTCCCTTGACTGTCTCACTATAGCTGCTCTCTCTGAGTGAAGTTTAATATGATTTCTTCTTCATTTTTTAATTCTTCTAAGAAAATTCATACCTTCTATCTTTGCTCTTGTTCCTGATGTCAAATGGGGGTAATTGTCGATTTTACTTCTCAGGATATGCCTGTTAACTTAAGAGAACTAAGCATCCATGGCACCTGTGTAGTTTGGGTGTATTCTGACAGAGTTGCTGAGCACCTGTGTTTGATTTCCACTACTTTTGGCAATTTTTCCTGATACTATGCTTTGACATTACAGATGACTTTAATTTTGGTTCATTTTGCATTTTGGTTTCATACTATTATTTTGATCATCTGGGAGAAGTGGGGGATTGCTATCTTGACTCAGAGTTTAAAACTGGAAGACCTATAATTCTTTGTAAAAATTGTTTTTTGATTAATATGTATCCTGTTATATGCTTCAGAATATATAATGATATAGTGATTTTTCTGAATGATATTTTACTGACCAGTAGTTGGCAGCCATTCTACTTTATATGCATTAGTGAACTCCTGCATTGGCCTAAGAACACTTGAAAATACTTCATTTTCATAATTTTTATTAGCCTTGTTAACTATTACTAATACTGAATTGATTTCTCAATTGTAGTCAAGTAAAGGAGAAGTGACTGCACTTGTACATCAGCTTCAAGAAAAAGACAAATTACTTGCTGCTGTGAAGGAAGATGCTACTGCTATGAAGGATCGGTGTAAGCAGTTAACTCAGGTGAAGACATTCTTGCATTTAAATGATATGCTTTATGCTTTTCTTATAAAGCAAAAGTTATTTTAAAAAATTGATTTGAGAGAGAGAGAGAGAGAGAGACATTGATGTGAGAGAGGAACATCAGTCATTTGCCTCCTGCACACACCTGACCAGAGATCAAACCTGCAACCCAGGTATGTGCCCTGACCAGAAATCTAACCTGCTACAGGATGATGCTCCATTCAACTAAGCCACACCAGTCAGGGCTAAAGGACATAAAATTTATCTTTATTGTTGCAAGTATTGCAGATGTTCCTCTTTTCCCATATTGACACCCCCCTTTCTCTGCACTATTGTCTGTGTTCATTGGTTAGGCATATATGCATATAAGTTCTTTGATTTATCTCTTTCCGCTCCCCTACCTCCCTTCCCTCTGAGGTTTGTCAGTCTGTTCCCTATGTCTATGTCTCTGGATCTGTTTCGTTCATCAGTTTAATTTGTTCATTAGATTCCACATATAAGTGAGATCATGTGAAACTTGTCTTTCCCTGACTGGCTTATTTCACTTAGCATAATACTCTCCAGGTCAGTCAGAAACAATGAAGGAGTTTAGAAATTGTCCATAATTCCTGAGTTAATTGTGTACAAAAAGTGATACCCATTAAAAGTAATTTTCTTTTAGAGGTTTGGTGGTGGTGGGGGGTGTCTTACTCTTTTGTGTTATTTATAGCCTACAGCTGAATTATGAATTTAAAATAACAGTACTTGTAGATATCCTAATTTCAGAATAACAGAAGCATTTGGACATTTGGAATGTTGTTCAGTTGGATCTGACTTAGAATTATTCTTTATAGAAGCCAAAACTTTAAATCTAATGTATAGGGTAAATTAAAGTTACTATATAGAAAATTTATTTTTGAAGGTTTTTGTGATTAATGATTAAAAATGATAAATATTTAAGTTCTTCAAGCCCTGGAAATTTTACTCTGAGAGACCTTTAAAAGACCTTTAAAAAGTCATGTAGAAATCTTGTCAGATGATACATATGTCCAGTTATAAAGTAAATTAAGTCCTGAGTTATAAGGTACAGCATGATGACTGTAGTTAATAATACTGTATTGTGTGTTTGAAAGATGCTAGGAGAGCCAGGCTGGTGTGGCTCAGTGGTTGAGTGTCGACCCATGCACCAAGAGGTTGCTGGTTCAATTCCCAGTCAGGGCACATGTGTAGGTTGTGGGCTAAATCAACAGTGGGGGGGCATGCAGGAGGTGGCAAATCTGTATTCTCTCTCTTTGATGTTTCTATCTCTCTCTCCCTATCCCTTCCTCTCTCTCTAAAATCAATAAAGAAAAAAAAACGAAAAAAAAAAACTGTAATTATATTAAGATTAATCAGAGTTGTTACTAAAACAAGTGTTTTCTTAACATTAGAAACTAGTATAGTTTTATGTTGCTATAGTTTTCTGACTATCTTTTAAAAATTGAAAAAGGTGACTATCTACTCTGCGGTGATTCATTGAGCTGTACACTTAAGATGTGTATATTTTTTTCCTAAGTACATTATATACATCAGTATAACAATTTCCTAATGTAAATGAATTAACTCTTATGGGCAACCATAAATTACATAAAAATATTAAATTTGTATGTTTCTTACAGTAGGGGCCTGGGTTGATCATACCTGCGGATAACTAAAGTTGCTTGGCTTTCTTTTTACTGTGATAGTTAATATTTGTTCTAGAAGTTCATAATATTTGCAAAACAAAATAAAATCACACTTTTAAGATTTGACTTGGGAAGATAATAAACTTTTGCTTTCTGATTTTTACTTTTCCTTTGTTCCAAACTTCTGTTCTGCTATAAATATATCAGTCTCTTTCCCTAGGAAAGATACTTCTTTTTTTTACACTTCTGTGCTATTTTTTTTTTCAGGCCTTTTTTTAGTACCCTAAAAGAGAGCTAGTACCTACAAATTATAGAGAATTAACTCTTTTCCTTTACTTTTAAATTTAAAAAAAAGTATTGATTTATTTGAGAGAGAGAGAAAGTAAGAAACATTGATTTATTGTTCCACCCATTTATGCATTCATTGTGTGTGCCCTGACCCAGGATGCAGAAGACAATGGTTTTTATAACCTCTGTCTGACCTTGCATTTTAAGTACTTATTTCATAATTCGTGATTATTTTACTGATGACATTTTTGTTGACGTTAAAAATGTTTTCTTCTTATTATGTAATAAGTATGTAGTCTTACATACTTATTTTTTTAATAAGTTTTTCATAATTTTTTTTTCTGCTTTACTCTTCTAGGAAATGATGACAGAGAAAGAGAGAAGCAATGTGGTTATAGCAAGAATGAAAGATCGGATTGGAACATTAGAAAAGGAACATAATGTATTTCAAAACAAAATGCATGTCAGTTATCAAGAGACTCAACAGATGCAGATGAAGGTATATCTTCATTCTTTGAGAACAAAATGAAATCCTTGCATTTATTTAATTTGCAAACTTTTTTTTTTTTTTTTATCCTCACCCGAGGACATTTTTCCATTTTTTGTTCAGCTAGAGCGGGAAGGAGAGAGAGGAAGAGAGAGAGAGAGAAACATCGATGTGAAGGGACACATCGAGTGGCTGCCACCCGCATGACCAACCAGGGCCGGGGACAAACTGCAACCGAGGTACATGCCCTTAGCGGGAACCGAACCCGGGTCTCTCAGGACCGCAGGCCGACGCTCTAACCGCTGAGCCAAACTGGCCAGGGCTAATTTGCAAACTTTTAAGTGCCTAATTTTTGTAAGACCGGCCCTGTGCTGGGCCATGGTGCAATGGCTGTTTAACTGGTTGCCTCCTTAAGTAAACACCTTTTCTAGGTGGGAGGCTGGAAGCTGATAAGTAGATACTCCATTACAATAGTGGTGTAAATATTGGGGTGCTTTGGAACAATAGAAATGGAAGGTGGGGAAGAGAAGGAATGATAGGAAATGCTTGTTAGAAATTATGTGTGGATTGTGTTGAATCTTTTGAAACAATTAGGCATTGTCAAATAAGAGGGTGAAGGAGCGGGCACTGGGTATAAGAGTTTTTTACTTGGTGTGATTCCTTAGTCACATCTCTAGAGATGACGGTTCATTGGGTCTGTTTTAGGCCCTAAGATTGAGGTTTTTAATGAGTGTACCCCAAGTGTTTCCAATACAGATTGTCTAGAGATAACAATTTTTAAGAAATAAAGTAAGACTTATGGTACTTGGGAGTCAGGGTGGGAATGTAGATGAGAAGATCTAGAGAAGTAAATATAGGTCCTCTATTAAAGGGCTTTGTATAACTGAAGACTGGAGATCCAGTGAAAGTTAAGCAACCCAGCAGTGTGATTATATTAGTATTTTAAATTATTACTCTGGCAGCCCTGGCCAGTTTGGCTCAGTGGTTAGAGTGTCGGCCCATGGACCAAAGAGTCCTGGGTTTGATTCTGGCCAAAGGCATGTACCTCGGTTACGGTTTGTCCCTGGTCCCGGTTGGGGTCGTGCAGGTGGCAACCAATCGATGTGTGTCACCTCTATGTTTCTTTCTCTCACTCTCTTTCTCCCTCCCTTCTGCTCTATATGAAGATAAGTGGAAAAATGTCCTTGGGTGAGGAATGAATAAATAAATGAATGAATGAATAAATGAATAAATAAGTTATTACTCTGGCAGCATTGTGGAGAATGAAACAAAGGATAGATCTTTTGGAAAGTTTCTGCAGGAATCCAAGAGAACAAAGGCCTAAAATCAGATGGTGACAATGAGAAGATAAGTTTGAATGAACCAAAAAGAGTTAGTAGAGCCCGGCAGTTGGGCTCAGTGGTTGAGTGTCGACCTGTGCCCCAAGAGGTCGCCAGTTCAATTCCTAGTCAGGGCACATGTCCAGGTTGTTGGCCCAATCCCCAGTGTGGGGCGTGCAGGAGGTGGCCAGTCGATGTTCTCTCTCATTGATGTTTCTCTCTCTCATCGATGGTTCTCTCTTCTCTTTCCCTCTCCTCCTTAAAAAAAGAAATGTTAGTAGATAGAACTTGGTGATAAGAGTAGAGGAGAGCGGAAGAGAGAAACGATAATGAAAGATAACTCCTATGGTTTTGGGTTTTGGTTCTGTCTCTTGTTCTTACTTTCACCTGTCTTCTAGCATTTAAGAAGGTTCAGTTCTTACTGTCTATCTTTTCTCTGTATCCATTTTCATGATTTCAGTTAGGTCTGGCCCAGTGATTTTTTTTTTTCCTCTACATAATTCTTACCAGAGGATGTTTTTCCAGTGATTTTCAGACAGAGTGAGAGGGAGGAAGGGAAGGAGAAGAAGAGAGAGAGAGAGAGAAACATTGATTGGTTGTCTTCCACATGACCCCAACCAGGGAGGGCCAGGGATTGAACTGCAACCGAGGTGCATGCCCTTGAGTGGAATTGAACCTGCGACTCCTTGGTCCTAGGGCTGACGCTCTAACTGCTGAGCCAAAATGGCCCGGGCTGGCCTAGTGATTTTTGTTTTCTTTTTTCTTTCTTTCTTTTTTTAGATTTAAATATTTACTTGTCAAGTGGGTTTATAATACCTCCTCCCCAGTCACCCAGATGAACTTTCTGAACCAGGAATTTTTTCGAAATTAGTTCCATTGCTGGCTGATGCTTCAATTTGCAAGCTCCTATCATCACCTCATATTTAACATATGTCTAAATCAAACTCTTGCTTTTGATCATAAAGCATTATTATTATTACTCTTCAATCCTTTGACTTTTTTCTTTTTTGCCCAGTTTATAATTTATTCTTAAATCTTAAAGATAATTTATTTCTTGTTACTCTTGCATTTAATTCTTAAGCATTGCCTTGGTTTATTATTTTATACTGTTGCCAGTGGAAATGGGGTTATTTCACAGATTGGCAAGCAAAACATTTCTGGAAACCCAAGCATGGAAGGATGGGATGTGGTGGTAAGGTTTACTGGGATAGAAATAGAAGGCTGCCCCCATTTTCCTGGTATCTCATCCTCGTTCATCGCTGTGGGAAAAGGTCAGACTTGTCTTCATCAAGCCCCAGAAAACTGCCAGTGTCCAGAAATTCTGTGCCATTGGCTTAGTTCAGGTCAAAGCTTAGTGCTGTTCAGCCTCTGTCCTTGCCCAGCTAGCACATTTTCTTTTCCTGGCTGCACTCTATCTGAGGCTGTTGCTTTATCCAGGCTGGCACTTGGAGCTCTGCACTTGGAAGTCCAACAGGTGGCTGCTAGGCTCTCATGGCGGCTATGGAGAGAGAACATATTGAGCACATGAACAAACACCTGATATGGGGCAAGAGAGAGAAACAGAGAGAGAGAGAATCCTTGTCTTTAAGCTTGGATTATATTATCTCATGTTTGGGAAGGACCAGGCCCTTTTTCAAACCAGTTTCTCTCTTTTTTTTAATCTATATTGTTGAATGTATTACAGATGTTCCCCTTTTTTTTCCCCATTGACCCCCTCCTCTCCACTTCCGCCACCCTCCTGCCTTTTCCCACACTGTTGTCTTTGTCCATTGGTTATGCATGTAAGTTCTTTGGTTTATTTCTTCTCATCCCCCAACCCCCTTTCCTTTGAGGTTTGTCAGTCTAGCAATGAATTTGTACTTCTTAATCCCTTCACCTTTTTCACCCATTCCCCCAAACCCCCTCCCATCTGGCAACCAACAAAATGTCCTCTGTATCTATGAGAGTGTTTCTGTTCTGCCTGTTCATTTTGTTTGTAGATTCAATTGTCGATAGATATGTATTCATTGCCATTTTGTTTGTTCATATATTTTATCTTTTTCTTCAAAAAGACCCATCAACATTTCATATAGTAACGGTTTGGTGGTTATGAACTCCTTTAACTTTTTCTTGTCTGGGAAACTCTTTATATGGCCATCAATTCTAAATGAAACCTTTGCAGGATAGCGTAATCTTGGTTGTAGGTTCTTGCTTTTCATCACTCTGAATATTTCTTGCCACTTCCTTCTGGCCTGCAAAGTTTCTTTTGAGAAATCAGCTGACAGTCTTATGGGAACTCCCTTGTAGGTAACTAACTGCTTTTCTCTTGCTGCTTTTAAGATTCTGTCTTTCTCTTGAACCTTTTGCATTTTGATGATAATGTGTCTTGGTGTGGGCTTCTTGGGGTTCATCTTGTTTGGGACTCTCTGTGCTTCCTGGACTTGTGTGTCTGTTTCTCTGTTTCCTTCACCAAGTTAGGGAAGTTTTCTGCCATTATTGTTTCAAATAGGTTTTTGATTTCTTGTTCTCTCTCTTCTCCTTCTGGCACGCCCAAGATGTGAATGTTGGCATGCTTGAAGTTGTCCCAGAGGTTCCTTACACTATCCTCCTTTTTTTGGATTCTTTTTTCTTTTTGCTGTTCTGATTGGGTGTTTTTTGCTTCCTTATATTCTAGATCGATGGTTTTGCTTCTTGGCTTTACCTACTCTACTATTGAATCTGTGTAAGTTATTCTTTATTTCAGTTAGTGCCTCCTTCAGTTCTGACTGTGCATCCTTCATTTCTGACTGGTCCTTTTTTATGCTCTTGAGGCCCTCACTAAGTTTGCTGAGGTTCTCAGTAAGTTCATTGAGCATCCTTATAAGCAGTGTTTTGAACTCAGCATCTGTTAGGTTGCTTATCTCCATTTCGCTTAGTTCTTTTCTTGGGGTTTTGTTCTGTTCTTTCATTTGGGACCTGTTTCCTTGTCTCCTCATTTTGGCTGCCTCCCTGTGTTTGCTTCTGTGTATTACTTAATGAGAGGTATGGGGCTAGCTGAGACCAGATGCTGCTTGTTTGAAAGAATTTAGGAAAACCTGAAGCAGGATCCAAGACAGGCCAATCCTGTAGTTAAACAACTGGCAACAGCTTAAGTGGGCGTGAAAGTTGGGTTGGGTGGGGCGGGGCCTCAGGGAGTCAGCAGGGCGGGGCTACCAGTGTGAGCCAGATTGCTGGAGTCCCAGATATGGCCGGTTGTCTGCTGGCCTTGTGAAGGAAGGGCTCACCAAAGGAACAAAGGCCTCTTACAGCACCTTTGTCCCGGAGAAAGCCCCCTCTCCAGCCCTTGCTTCAATGCCAAACAGCTCAGTTCTTCCCTGTATGTCTCTTGAGCTGCCTCCCCTCCAAGATTAGAGGGAGCAAGTCCGAGTAAGTCCATTCGTGGGCCCTTTAAAAGGAGCTGCCTGGGGCTCCAGCTTCTTCAGCCTCCCTGAGCCTCAGTTCCTGCTGGTTTTTTCAGCCAGAAGTTATGGGGACTTCTCTTCCTGGCACTAGAACCCTGAGCGGGGTGCCTGGTGTGGGATGGGGACCTCTCTCTCAGTCCTCAGGGAGGACCTTCCCAGCCAAGAAATCCTTCATTGCTATCAAAGTCTGTTTTCCATAGAATTACACTAATAGTATAATAGAAGTGAATGACTGTTAGGTTTTTATCCTATCCACTGCTGCTTTTATACTTTCATTTGGCCCAATATTCTATCTTCCCAGCCCCCAGCCACTTGAAATATTCTTTTTCATAAATCAGGTAATAGAAGAACTGATTTTTTTCCAGTCTCAAGTGATATTTTGTTCTTCTTAATTCCTACTTTTACTTAATTCCTCTATTTGAAAATTAGCTAGGCACTTATAACATCATCTTTTACTGAGGGTGAAAGGTATTGAAGTGAATCATTTTATTTTTTACTTGATTGCTTATAGAGGCCATGATATATAGACTTCATGTGATAAGTTCTCTGAAAAATAGAAACATACACTTAAATTTCTCTTAATTGAATAGGTTCATTTAAAATTATTAGATTTTATTTCACATATTAGAGTAAGACATCCTTATGGAGATATAAGATTCAGTGGTCTTTATCTTTTGATTTTATAATTGTAAAATAAAAAATTAGAGACCAGAATATTTTAGCAAGTAGATTTTTGTGTAATGGATTTGCTATCTATTTGGTTATGGCTCAGGTGTTATTTAATATAAATATATTGAAGATATTTTCAACTTTAGAACTTGATTACTACATCTTTTAAAAATATTACATACATAAAATTGACATAGGATTGAGACAGGCTTAATTCTATATGAGTCTGTTGAGTAGGAAAAAAATTCCAAGTCATTTTTAGTTCTGTAACAGCATCTTTTTGTATTTATTTTGCATTTCAAATATGATAGCAGCTAACATTTACTTGTATTCTTGAGTTCTGTGACAGCTAGTATTTGCTTTCCATTCATCACTATCAAAATGTAATTTATCCTTTAAATTTTTTTATATTTAAGTGTGGTGCAAACTTCATTCGTGATGTTTTTTACATTCTCATCGTAATAGTGTCTTGTAAAAGTTAGCTTTGACAAGCATTGTTTTCTAAATCTTATGTTTGTTCAATAATTTTAGTTCCAGCAAGTTCGTGAGCAGATGGAAGCAGAGATAGCTCACTTGAAGCAGGAAAATGGCATACTGAGAGATGCTGTCAGCAACACTACAAACCAACTAGAAAACAAGTATGTTTCCAAATGCTTTATTTTTAACTGAATGGCAGAGTATTTTAATTGAGCAGCAGAATGTTCCTCTCTCCCTCTCTTCTTCCCTCCCTTTCTCCCTCCCCCTCTTTCTCTTTCTCTTTCTCTTTCTCTTTCTCTCTCTCTTTCTCTTTTTTTTGTTAATCCTCACCTGAGGACATTCCTGCATTGATTTTTAGATAGTGGAAGTGAGGGAGGGAGAGAGAGAAACATCTATTGGCTGCCTCCTTCATGACTCCTACTGGGTCTAGGAATCAAACCTGCAACCCAGATATGTACCACTGACCAGGAATTGAACCCGTGACCCTTTGGTCCAAGGGGCGACGCTCTAACCACTGAGCAAAATCGGCCAGGGCCAGAGTATTTTCTTGAATCATGATGTTTGATAGTGAATGGTTATACTTTTGTTTTTTACATTTGTTTATAAAGTCAGTTAATTTTCAAAAACAATTCTCTTGCTGTATGAAGAACCTGTTCAGTTAAATTGCATGATTAATACTGTGCCACCATTGGAATAGTCTACAAATTAATGAAACTGAATTTACAAGTTTTAAGTCATCTATCCCCTTTAACAGTAGTTCTCAAATTTCATTATTCTGAAGAGTATCTAGCATGTTAGTTTAAAAAGCATATTCTTGAATCCTATCCCTAAAAAATGATGATTCAGTGACTCTGAGGTAGAGCTCAGGAAAGTACATATTAAAGACACATTCCTGTGATATTTATGTAGTTGGTTGTGGGCTATATTTTGAGAAACAATGTACTAGAGAAAACTAGTAGCTTACACAGATTAAACACTAACAGGTTGATTTTCAGAACATCAGTTTGAGAGTGACACTATTAATTCTGCTTATGAGTGTGGTCATTTATTTTCTTGATTATATTATAGTGATTTTAGAATTTGTGTAATTATCATCAGAATGATTCAGAGATTACACTCAACTGAATTTTATTATTATTAGTCACTTATAGCCTTCCTTTTTTTCACTTGGCTATTAGTGGAATTACTAACTCAGCAACACTAATATAAAATATATTTTGTTTATTTTTTTTTCCCTTTTAAATATGTTTTTATTAATTTTTTTTTTTTTTCCAGAGAGAGAGGAAGGGAGAGAGAGATAGAAACATTCCATTGGATGCCTTCTGCATGCCCCCTACAGGGGATTGAGCCTGCAATCCAAGCATGTGCCCTGACTGGGAATAGAACCAGGACCTCTCAATCTATTGGACGATGCTCAATCCACTGAGCCACATCGACTGGGCTATTTTGTTTATTCTTTATAGGCTTTGCAGTAATGAAATGCTCCTAATCCAGTTACCATTTTCAGGCAGTCTGCTGAACTGAATAAACTTCGCCAGGATTATGCTAGATTGGTGAATGAACTGACTGAGAAAACAGGAAAACTGCAGCAGGAGGAAGTCCAAAAGAAGAATGCTGAGCAAGCAATTACTCAGCTGAAGGTGATATATTTCTACCTTTATTTATCACTTTATTAAAAATGGACACATTCAGCTCAATGACCTAAATGTATATAAAGGTTTGAGATATGTAATTTAAGGCTTAATGGGACCTGTAGTACTCAGCCTATATAGTAATATGTACACTAATGTAAGAATTGAATATAGGCCTAAGTTTGAATATAAATACTGTTTGATGATATAAAAAATGATATTAACTGATTGACAGGTATAACCAGTAGAATTTCATCTTACATGTGGAGGTTAGAGTCTACCTGTGTAAGGCAAAAATCATATAGTTAAAATTACCTTCATATCACTAACCATAACTTGGATTTCTTAGTAAGTTCAGCAAAGACTATTTTTATTCTGGCATTGGAATAGATTATTTTCCCTAGTCTGAGCACAAGACCAAGTAATGCTCCAGTAGCTTTTACTTGAACTATAGTATACAAAAATTATGCACTGTTTCCCTAGACACCAGAATTTTATCTTTAGACACTTGGTAAGTGGAAATGCTCATACTGAGAAGAGATGCATGGGTTTGCTGAGGCCGTCTGAGAGAGTAGATCTGTTTCTCTTGAACTTGATAGCCTATGCACATTGAGTAGAATGATGGGTAGAATTGTCTTTCTTTTACTGAGAGTATTTGTTGAGTGTGTAGTTTAATTTGTTTAAGTTAAATGTATTAATTTCCTGCCTAGGTATTTTATTTTACTTATTTATTTTTGTTACAGATGTTTCTCCCTTTCCCCCCCGATTGACACCCTCTTCCCTTTCCCTTCCCAGCCTGTCCCCAGCTTTGTTGTCCATGTCCATTGGTCATGCATACATGCATGTAAGTTCTGTGATTTATCCCCCCACCCCCTCTTCTGGGGATTGTCAGTCTATACTCTACTTCCACGTCTCTGGGACTACCCTGTTCCTCAGACTGTTATGTTCATTATATTCTACAAATAAGTGAGATCATATGATACTTGTCTTTCTCTGTTTGGCTTCTTTCACTTAGGATAATACTTTCAGGGTCCCTCCATGTCGTCTCAAAGGATAAGAGCTCTTTTCTTTCCTACAGCTGCATAGTACTCCATTGTGTATATGTACAACAGCTTTTTTATCCATCGTCTACTGATGGACATTTGGGCTGTTTCCAGATCTTAGCTATTGTAAATAGTTGCTATGAACATGGAGGTACATATATTCTTTCTGATTGGTGTTTCAGGCTTCTTAGGGTATATTCCTAGAAGTGGGATCACTGGGTGAAATGGAAGTTCATTTTTAATTTTTTGAGGTAACACCATATTGTTTTCCATAGTGGCTGCACCAGTCTGCATTCCCACCAGCAGTGTACTAGAGTCCCCTTTTCTCCACACCCTTGCCAACACTTGTTGTTTGATGATTTGTTGATGGCGGTCATTCTGACAGGTGTGAGGTGATACCTCATTGTTGTTTTAATTTGCATCTCTCTGATGATTAGTGATATTGAGCATTTCTTCATATGTCTCTTAGTCATTTGTATGTCCTGTTTGGAGAGGTGTCTATTTAGTTCCTCTGCCCATTTTTTAATTGTGTTCTTTATCTTCCTTTTGTTCAGCTGTATGAGCACTCTATATTTTGGAAATTAACCCCTTATCAGATATATCATTGGCAATTATGCTCTTCCATAGAGTGGGTTGCCTTTCCATTTTGATGGTTGTTTCTTTTGCTGTGCAGAAGCTTTTGAGTTTGATGTAGTCTCATGTGTTCATTTTTTCCTTTGTTTCTGTTGCCTTAGGTGGTGTATCCGTGCAAATTCTGCGTGTGATGTCTGAAATTTTGTTGACTACATTTTCTTCTAGGATTTTTATGAATTCACGAGTCACATTTAAGTCTTTTATTTATTTTGAGTTTATTCTTGTGTATGGTGTAAGTTGATGGTCTAGTTTCATTTTTTTGCATGTAGCTGTCCAATTTTCCCACCACCATTTATTAAAGAGGCTGTCTTTACTCCATTGTCTACCTAGGTATTTTACACCATCATACTTTGGTACTAGTTTCAGAGTAGTAAGAATTAAAAGTGCTTTGGGAATAATTGAATGTAGAAAATAGTGTAATTTTTTTTTTTTTCTTAAAGTTTTTATGGATCCCTGTGGGAGATTGATATAATTGTCCTTTCTTTGATACAATATTTGTCTTGCTGATGTGTTTACTGCTGGCATTTATAAATACGGAAACTTGCTTTCTGTGGATATTGATAAGTAGATAATGACACTAAGATAAAAGTGTTGTTCTATACCTCACATGACAAATTATGGTACCTACTGAAATTTAGCAATAAAGATAACATCCTGTCTTTTGAAAGCCTATCAACTCAAGGAAGATTATTGGAAAGCAGATTATAGCTAAGTGGATTAGATATATACATAGTAATAGCTATCTTGATCCACTAGCACAGGTACTGTTTCTGAAATAATTTCTAATCTATAAATTCTGTATATTGAGGGATAGAATGGCTGTGACTGGTAATATCCATGTATATTATCAGGCTAGGTATATCTGCCTATCTTATTAAAATGTAGGAGACTAGTTGTTGGAATAAGCAGTTTTCTGATACAACAGTAAAGGTAGAGGACACTTAAAAAAAAATGCAATCCTGTGTTTGTGCTGATTTATCCATTTTCTAGGTTCAACTACAAGAAGCTGAGAGAAGGCGGGAAGAAGTCCAAAGTTATATCAGGAAGAGAACAGCAGAGCATGAGGCAGCACAGCAAGGTAAGGGGAAAAGGTATTCATGTAAATTTAGTATATAATTCTGGGTGAAATTTCCTCCTTTTTCTATATGTGGAGAAAGTATAATTTGACATTTTGTCTAGAGCTCAATAAAAATAACTTCTAAACTTTTAGAGTACCTTTATTTCTTTAACATTTCCTAGGGTTTTAAAAATAAGTACTCTAGCCCTGGCCAATGTGGCTCAGCTGGTTGGAGCATCATCTCATACATCGAATGGTCGTGGGTTCGATTCCTAGTCAGGGCACTTACGGGAAAGCAAATTGATGTTCCTCTCTCTCTTTTTCCCCTTCCTTCTCTCTAAAATCTATGAGCATATCCTTGGGTGAGGATTTTTTTTTAAAGCACTGTAATAGCCCTGGCTGGTTTTGCTCAGCGGTTAGAGCATTGACCTGCAGTCCGGAGAGACCCAGGTTCAGTTCCCGCTAAGGGCATGTACCTCAGTTGCAGTTTGTCCCCAGCCCTGGTTGGATTGTGCAGGTGGCAGCCACTCGATGTGTCCCTTTCATGTTGATATTTCTCTCTCTCTCCCTCCTACTCTTATCTGAACAAAAAAAAAAAAATAGAAAAATGTCCTCAGGTGAGGATACAATAGCTTATTTTTAAAATTAATATTTTATATTAACAAAGCATACATGAATTTTTCCAAAAAATTGTAACTGTAGATTAAAACTATAAACTATATAACTATAAACAATAAAAACTCATTCTGATCAGAAGCAGTTCCTTTTGCTTTCAGTGTTTTCTATTACATCTTTATGTTCATATAAATGATTTTTAATGAGAAGTAATTAAATTTATTGAGGTGACATTGGGTAATAGGGTTATATAGGTTTTAAGTGTATGTTACTATGATACATGATCTGTATATTGCATTGTATGCCCACCACCCAAAGTCAAATAATCTTCTATCCATATATTTGGTTCCCTTTACCCTTTACTACCACCTACACCCTTCCCTTTGGTAACCGCCCACCATACTGTTATCTCTGTGTATCTGAGTTGCAGTTTTATATCCCACATATAAGTGAAATCATATTGTTCTTAGGTTTTTCTTACTGACTTATTTCACTTAGCATAATATTCTCAAGGTACATCCATGTTGTTGCAAATGGTAGTATTTTATTTTTTCTTATGGCTGAATAGTATTCCTTAATATATACATACCATGCCTTCTTTTTTCTACTCCTCTATCAAAGGCCACTTTGGTTTCCTCTATGTCTTGGTCACCGTGAATAATGCTACAGTGAACATAGGGGTGCATATATCTTTGTTTAGATAACCAGAAGTGGAATTGCTGGGTCTTATGTATCTCTATTTTTAGTTTTTTAAGGAACCACAATATTGGTTTTCCATAGTGGTTGTACCAGTTTACATTCCCACCAGCAGTAAATGAGGGTTCATTTTTCTCCAAAACTCTTCAACATTTGTTATTATCTGTCTTGTTGATGATAGCCATTCTAACAGGTGTGAGTTAGTATCTCATTGTAGTTTTGATTTGTATTTCCCTAATAGATAGTGAAGTTGAACATCTTTTCATATACCTGATGGCCATTTGTATGTCTTCTTGGGAGAGGTATCTGTTCAGGTCATCTGTTAATTTTTTTTTTAAGTCCTCAATATTTTTTTCATTTATCTTCAGATAGAGTGGGAAGGAGGGGGGCAGAGAGAGAGAGACATGACATTGATGTGATAGAGACACATCAATTGGCTGCCTCCTGCACTATTCTGTTCAGGGCCGGGGATCGAACCACAACCAAGGTACAAGCTCTTGATCGGAATTGAACCCATGACTCTTTGGTCCACGGGCTGATGCTCCAGCTGCTGAGCCAAACCTGCCAGGACTTTGCTCATTTTTTTTTTTTTTTTTAATCCTCACCCATTCCTCCACTTTTTGTACAGATAGAGTAGGAGGGAGAGAGAGGAAGGGAGACAGAGAGAGAGAAACATCGACGTGAAGGGACACATCGAGTGGCTGCCACCCGCACGACCAACCAGGGCCGGGGACAAACTGCAACCGAAGTATGTGCCCTTAGCGGGAACCGAACCCGGGTCTCTCTGGACCGCAGGCTGACGCTCTAACCGCTGAGCCAAACTGGCCAGGGCGCTCATTTTTTGATTGTATTGATTATTTGGTATTTAATTTTATGAGTTCTTTTTTTTTTCTTTTTTTTTATCCTCACCCGAGGATATTTTTCCATTTTTTGTACAGATAGAGTGGGAGGGAGAGAGAGGAAGGGAGAGGGAGAGAGAAACATCGATGTGAAGGGACACATCGAGTGGCTGCCACCCGCACGACCAACCAGGGCCGGGGACAAACTGCAACCGAAGTACGTGCCCTTAGCGGGAACCGAACCCGGGTCTCTCCGGACCGCAGGCCGACGCTCTAACCGCTGAGCCAAACTGGCCAGGGCTAATTTTATGAGTTCTTTATATTTTGGATATTAACCCCTTCTGAGCTGTTGTTTGCAAATAATATCTCCCATGTTGTTGATTCTTATTGCTGTGCAGAAACTTTTTAGTTTGATGTAGTCCCATTTATTTACTTTAGCCTTTACTTCCCTTGTCTTTGGGGTCAAATTCATAAAATGTTCTCTATGATCAAGATCAGTAAATTTAGTGCCTGTGTTTTCTTCAATATAATTTATTGTTTTAGATCTTATATTTAGGTCTTTGATCCATTTTGAATTAATTTATATACATGGAGACAAATTAACCTAGGTTTATTCTTTTGCATGTGACTTTGCAATTTTCCCAGCACCATTTATTGAAGAAGCTGTCTTTTCTCCATTGTGTATTTTTGACTCCTTTGTAAAAAAAAGTTATTTGCCCATATACCTGTGGTTTTATTTCTGGGCTCTCAATTCTGTTCCATTGGTATGTGTGTCTCTGTTCTGCAAATACCATACTGTTTTAGTTATTGTAGCTCTGCAGTATTATTTGAAGTCAGGTAGTGTGATACCTTCAGCTTATTTTTTTTTTTTCTCAGGATTGCTTTGGCTGTTTGGGGTCTTTAGTGGTTCCATACACATCTGGTGATTTTTTTTTTTGGTCTTATTTCTTTAAAAAATGACATTGGGGTTTTGATGGGGATTGCATTAAGTCTGTGTATTGCTTTGGGTAATATGGCCATTTTCACTATGTTGATTCTTTCAATCATGAACATGGCATATCTTTCCATTTTATTGTGTGTTTTTCAATCTCTTTTAATAATGCTTTGTAGTTTTTAGTATAGCGGTCTTTCACATCCTTTGTTAAGTTTATTCCTAGGTATTTTATTCTTTTGGTTGCAATTCTATCATATTTCTAAATTAGCATATTACTTATATTTACACTGCTGTCTTTTTATAGGCATCAGTTAACTTTCTATCACAGAAATGAGGGCTTAATACTCTCACACTATTTCTCCCATCTTCCCCCCATCCTCCTGATATGATAAAACATACTTTTTGATCATGTCAGGATTACATATTATGTCTCTGTACTCACTGTTGAACCAAGATAAATATTAAAACTGCAATTCTTTTCTTGAACATTGTTTTAATTGTCTGGAGCTAATTATTGCTTTATGTTTTTAAGTTGCTTGATCTTTGTTTTATTGTTTAAATTTTTACCTATGGTTAAACTCCTTTTACCATTTTCCCTTCCCCTAGCCTCTGGACATTTTAAATAATGGAGAACCTATCAGTTTTCCTGGAGCTATCTCTCTCTGGAGTCCTCAGTCTTTCTGTTTGATGACTCATTGCTTTCTAGGTTTGCTACATAGCTATCTTCCTGAAAATTCCTTTTGTCTCTCTAACCTGTTTTCTGGGTCCTGTGTCACTGAAATCTTTGCTTTCCTCCCTCATTTAATAGCACATTTTAGTGGCTTCACAAGAATATGAATACATTTGTTTGTATACCTGAAAATATTTAATACTTTCTACTTTCATGCTTGATTTGTAGTTTGTCTAGATTTAGAGTTCTGGGTTGAAAATAGTTTTACCAAAGATTTAACTTGTACTGTTGCTGGTAAGAAGTATTATGTTCTTCTGAGTTTTACACGTGGGCATTATCTTTATATGTTTAATTTTCAGGAGCTCTTTTATGAATTGTGTTCCATTCTGATATTAGTATCTTCTTGTGGAAGAAACATCTTACTTTTCTTAAAACATACCTAACACACACACATACTCACATACACACACACATGTCCTATTCCCCGTATTTGCCTCTTTATTCTTGATGGTAATCATCTTTGTTCTGCCCCTGTCATCCCTCCTCCCTGTTTTAGACTTGATTGTGTTTCGGGACCAGGAGGCAGCTCTCATACTGCCTGGTATTACAATTTCCTGAACCTTTCTAGGTTTCTGGAACACGTTTCCGTTCCTTGTCTCTGCCAAGTTAGTGATCTCTCCATTCATTTTGTCTTAATTTCTTGTATTTGGAGTTACATTTGCTTCCGATTGCACCAAGGATAGTTTGTGTTTGTTTCTCTCTCTCTCTTTTTTTCTCTTCTGTTTTGGAGTTATTAGAAGAGAAGCAGATAGAAAAGTTTTACTTCGTCTTACACCAGGACATTTGTCAACTTTCAGCATCTTTATCTGTTTTTTGGGTAGGAGAGTACAGGGAATTTACAAGAAACTTAATAAATAATTTAATGAAGTACTTACTAAAGGCATCTTTGGGAAATAAAGAATGCCTTCAAGAAATGGTATAGCCCTGGCCAGTGTGGTTTAGTTGGTTGGGCGTCATCCTGTGTACCGAAAGGTCATCAATTTGATTCCCAGTCAGGGCACATGCCCAGGTTTCAGGCTCAATCCCCATAGGGGCCGAGCAGGAGGCTGGAGGCAGCCAATCGATGTTTTGTTTTCATGTCAATGCTTCCCCCCACCCTTCCTCTCTTTCTTAAAAATAAAAAAATCTATCAGAAACAAAAAAAGAAACAGTGTAACAGTTTTAAACATCATGTATCATGTACTTATTGAATGTGAACTGGTTGCCAAGCCTTCTTTGGTCACAGCTCCGGATTCAGAAAAGGTAATCTCTGATTTCAGAAATCCGGGAAAGGAGATGAATTAGTACCTGTGGCTGTTATTGTGATTAAAAGTAAGCATAGGCTGTTAAGGGGATCCATATGTAGGCAGGAAGGAGGGAGCAAGGAAGGTTTTCTAGAAGAGATCAAAGTGACCAGGAAAGGAAGAGAACTTTGTAAAGTGCAATGCTTTGTTACAGATTTACAGAGTAAATTTGTGGCCAAAGAAAATGAAGTACAGAGTCTGCATAGTAAACTTACAGATACCTTGGTATCAAAACAGCAGTTGGAGCAAAGACTAATGCAGTTAATGGAATTGGAACAAAAAAGGGTGAACAAAGAAGAGTCTCTACAGATGCAAGTTCAGGTATCTAGTTTTCTCTTTCTTAAAAAATAGAGGTGGGCAGTCGTTGGATGTGTCTATGTAGAAGAGAGAAGATAGTCTGCTTTATCCTAATTCTGGAATGGTGATGAATAATTTAAGTTTAATCTTTGAGCATTTGTCACAGTATGGTGTGTTAGAATATGTACTTGAAATGTACATATTAATTTCTACCTTATAAATGAACTCTCCAAAAAGAATGTCTAATCATTGTTGTTTAAAAATGATGTATTTTGGAATCTAAGAGTGCCTTTTTAAAGATAAACACGTGTACCTATAACTTATTTTGTTCATATGCATTGGTATATTTGTTAACAGCACACTCCCCCCCCCCCCCCCTTTTTGATTGCTATTTTTGAAAGGACATTTTGGAGCAGAACGAGGCCTTGAAAGCTCAAATTCAACAATTTCATTCCCAGATAGCAGCCCAGGTAATGGTGCTTTCTTATTGCTTATCATTATTGATAGTTTCCTAGCTGTGTAATTAATCATCTGAATGCTTGTTGAGTACTGAGCACTGGATTAGTAGTTGGGAGACTAGTCATTGAATCAGCATTGATGATCCTGAGTGCTAAACACTCTGATAGTTATATACAGTGCTGTGGGGAAACAATAAGCAATCCAAATCCAGCTAATTGAGAGGTGGATTTGAGAGCTTTTGCCATAGGAGGAAAAAATGTCCACAATTCTGTAATGAAATAGGAGGAATTGGCCAAATGGTGTCAAGTATAGTCATTTTGTATTAGAAGTGTTCACTAATGTTGACTAGCTATAAGGGAAAATTTTATATGCCCTCAGGTGGTAGCAGTATGCTAACCATAACTCTTAGATTTATATGTGCAAAATGATCATTTTAAGATTTTTATTTCAGTTAAGTGAGTGGAGAAACTTTCCAAAGTTTTGTAAGTGGTATTATAAAACCTGTTTTTCTTTAGCAGCATTTTAATGTAACATGATTGATAGGTAGGTAGTCTTTAGAATATGAATAATACAATATTAAGAAAAAAGAGAAAAACTTCAAGTACTTAACCTGTTTCCATAATCTACATACTGTGAATTTTAATTCTTCAACTTAAAAATTTTAAAAATTATTTGTAGAAAAAGTATTAGCTTAGAATAGAAATCACCTTTCTGTAAGAAAGTAGTTTTAACATTAAAACTTTGTTTTTAAGGTTGAGGCAAATTTAAAGTCCTAAATGTTTGAGATAGCAAAATTTTTTTTTTCCAATTGCTTTCTTTGAAAAACTAGAATCTAAAATTAATTGGGAAAAATTGTTTAATATGGGAAACAGTGTTTGTGTGTTTATGGATGTGTATATATATGTAAATTATCAATTCATATTGGATTGAAATCCAAGTTATTAGCTCTAGAAAATTTATCAGGGACTAAGTACTTAGAGGATGCTATAAATATCTTTTTAAAAGTGAAGATGAGCATAGGTATTACCAAAAAGCTTAATTCTTACCTTAATCACCAACTGCATCATTTCAGTATTAGAAATTGTTACTTAGAAAAAGAAATACTGGGATGAGAAATGTACTTTGTGGCTATTTTTCCTGTGTTTTGTTGCTTTGTTGCTTGTTGGTGATCAAATTTGCCTTCAAAATAATAGCTACTATTTATTGAACACTCATCATGGGTCAGATGCTACTTTAACAATTTTATATACTTAATTTCTTTTAATTTTTAAAGCTCTGTAGTGATAATTATTGTAAAACTTTCAAACCTTGTCTTAAATGCTTTTATGTTGACACTGTTTTTCTTTCTTAGACCTCTGCTTCAGTTCTAGCAGAAGAATTACATAAAGTGTAAGCCTGCCTTTCTATATATCTCTCATAATTGCTTAGTCACCATTAATTGATACCTGTTAGATTCAATACTTACGATTAAATCTTCTAACTTGTTCAGGAAATACTCTCAACTAAATTTGGAGCAACTTTTGCTGCCTCAGTGATTTGGTTCATGAAAGTTTACACATTCTGTGTTTTTGTCTTCATCATAAAAAGAGTTGGGGGAAAGAGTTATGTGGAAAACAGAATTATGATTTGAGATCAGTGGAAGTTAATTAATTTTTGTCTACTAAGTAGTTGTAGGTACTCTGTGTCTAACTGTATAGTGTGGCCAAAACAAAATTCTGTGTTTTTTTGTGTGTGTATGGTATAATTGAGTATGTGGAAAACAGAATTATGATTTGAGATCAGTGGAAGTTAATTAATTTTTGTCTACTAAGTAGTTGTAGGTACTCTGTGTCTAACTATGGTGTGGCCAAAACAAAATTCTGTGTTTTTTTTGTGTGTGTATGGTATAATTGAGTTCAGAAGCCCTAAAATCTGGTTTTGACATTGCCAGGCTTGTGAATTTAAAAAAGTTACTTCTTTGACCTCAAGTTTTTTTGTGTGTTTTTTTTTATCCTCACCCGTGGACATTTTTCCATTTTTTGTACAGATAGAGTGGGAGGGAGAGAAAGGAAGAGAGAGAGAGGGAAACATCGATGTGAAAGGGACACATCGAGTGGCTGCCACCCGCACGACCAACCAGGGCCGGGGACAAACTGCAACCGAGGTACATGCCCTTAGCGGGAACCGAACCCGGGTCTCTCCAGACCGCAGGCGGACGCTCCAACCGCTGAGCCAAACCGGCCAGGGCTTGACCTCAAGTTTTAAAGTAGGAGTAGGTATTTTAAGAAGCTGTAGTAATACATATATGACAGTTACTTCTAAATTGAAAGGGGCTATAAAAACGAAAGGTACAGTTACATGAGAAACTAGTTTGATTTGTGGTTTAACTTCTAAATGTTTATTGAATGTACAAATCTATTTCCTGTTAAAGGATTGCAGAAAAGGATAAGCAGATAAAACAGACCGAAGATTCTTTAGCAAATGAACATGATCATTTAACAAGTAAAGAGGAGGAACTTAAGGTACAGTAATTATTATAAATGGCTGCAGTACTTTTACAGGCATTGAGTTACTCCGATCTTGTACTCGGTATATGTGTCTATGAAGAATGGAAAATATCTAGAATTCATTTGAAAAGTATCTATTTTCTAAACTACCAAATCCTTTTTAGCCCTCTAAGAGGAAAAGTTGAAAGGGTTTTCTCACATATATAATTTACAGTAATTTGGGAAATATGCTAAATAACAGGAATTGATGGTTTCTCTTTCTCAATTAAGAAATTGTAATTTAAGATTTTTGCTTTGAGACCTTTGCTTAAGTAAAAGAGCTTTACAAAGTTCAAAGTCAATTATATTAAATATTTCTAATTTTGTTTTTCCTTTTTATTCTAGGACATACAGAATATGAATTTCTTATTAAAAGCTGAAGTGCAAAAATTACAGGCCCTGGCAAATGAACAGGTAAGATTTTTACTGCTTTTGAGCATTTACCTTAGAATTTTAGTTTGTCTATACTTATTTTTATTGGTACTACAAGCCCAAATTTTATTCATGTGGATAGTAATTAAATATAATAGTTACTCCTGTCTGGTTGCATGCTGTGTTGTTGAAAGTGTCTTCTATTTGACTGTGACTCTCATAACCCACCTAGATAGTAACTACTTTCATGTTGAAATTAATGTTCAATCCAAAGAATTGACTGCATTTGAGATACCAGAGGAATAGTTAAAATACTCTTAATGTGCTTATTTGTTTTAGCCTTCTGCCATTTAATTAAGAAAGGACATATCTTTTTATTAGAATAAAAGTCGATCAGTGAGAAGTACAAAACATTGGATTGCAGAATGTATTATAGAAACCTGTGATATTGCTTTAATTTTATTCCAAATTCAAGAAAATAAAATTTTTTAATAAGTAAAAATAAGTAAACGAATATTTTAGAGTGCTTCCCAAGAAATGGTATAATTCTCATCTCATTCTAAACATAGGCTGCTGCTGCACATGAACTGGAGAAAATGCAAAAAAGGTAATTAATGTATTGTTGTACATGAAGCCATTCATACATTTATGTCCAAGTATAATTACAGAAAATATTTCTGCTTATAATGGATATTTGTGCACATAATTTATGTAAATTTTCTGAATATGTGAATTATTTTAATTGTTTTTTTTTTTTTCTTATAGTATTCATGTTAAGGATGATAAAATAAGACTGCTTGAAGAGCAGCTACAGTGTGAAATTTCAAACAAAATGGAAGAGTTTAAGGTTTGTGATTAAGCTTGTCATCTTAGCTTTTATTTTTTTATCCTCACCCGAAGATATTTTTCCATTTATCTTCAGGTAGAGTGGGGGGAGGGGGGGAGGCGGGGAGGCGGGGAGAGAAAGATGAGTTGGTTGCCTTTCACACGCCCCTGACCAGGGCCAGGAACAGCAACCAATGTACGTGCCCTTGACTGGAATTGAACCTTGGACCCTTTGGTCTGCGGGCCCACTGAGCCAATCTGGTCAGGGCTGTCATCTCAGCTTTTTATGAACACTTTGTAATAGTTTTCAGTTGAAGTGAATATAGTTTATTTGGGGGCTTACGCAAACAATGAATTTTGTCATAGACCTTTTTGCCTAGATTATCTTATCTCTTCTTACAATAGACTTTTGAATTTGTTTTGCCCCAGCCTTTTCTCTACAGTTTTCAGTTGGTAGTTTATGATGATTTATCTGTTGTTGGTGCATTGTGCTAGTTTCTGGTCAGGCTAACCAGCTTGAGTGCCGCAAAGCATTCTGATTGCCAGGGTACATCTCTGTGTAGTATAATTTGCTTTTTTTTTTTTAGCTTTTAATTACTAGTACTCACTTATGAAAACAGGGTTTCCCAGATCCCATTTGCACAAACTGTTCAACTCTTTGAAATACACATGAAAGCAGTTTAAACCACAGTGTTAACACTTTTTTGGGATAAACTGCATGACTGAATTAAGAGGCTCTGTAGAATTGGTTTTAGGTATTATTGTACATGTACTTTATACTAATACTGTATTCCTATACACTGGAATGTATTCATTGGAGCCATGTGAGATTTGCATTCTTACATACATTAGTATATAATGTACCAATCACTTTGTTAGTACTTAAAGCAATCATATGGGTTTGGTTTTTTTTTTCAAAAAACCCATTCAAATTATTGCTTTGTTATCTTTGCTTAATAAAATATTAAATTGAGATTTTTTTCTTCCAGATTTTAAGTGACCAAAACAAAGCATTGCAATTAGAAGTTCAGAAGCTACAGACTCTTGTTTCTCAACAGGTAAGGCTTTTCATGAGTTAAAGGTAGAAATATCCATTATAGAACAAAATCTGCTGCTTCTTAAATAGTAAGTAACCAACTCATTAATTTTGAAAAATTTTGCTTAGGTATAGATATATCTTTTAATTGCATTTCTATTGTTCTTGTGCTTATCGGATATCTAAACTAAGAAAATAAGTTTTTCTTCTTGAAAGGAAGTTAATGCTAACATGTTTATAAGCACCCCTCCCCTCAAAAGAAAGAACTTTTTAAGTCATTTTGATACATTTGGTTCTCAGGATAAAAGTCCTTAGACTTGGAACCCCGCTTTCTCTAAGGCAGCATGGTTTCTTAAACAGAGAATGGGTTTGAAACCTAATACCAGCACTTAAAGCAGAGTGATTTTGATCAAATTGCTTAACCTTTCTGAGACCTCTTATTCCAAATCTTTCACATTTTATTTACATCATAAGCTTGGTAAATTTAAATGGGGAAGTTTATGTATAGTGCTTTGCATATAGCAGGCATTTTAAACCTTAATATCTTTTCCTTAGAATATTTATTTTTTCCATCTCATTTCCATCCCCTACTGCCATCATACTTTTTTCTATATTTATAGCAAGCCATCAAAACTATAGCAGCCTGAATAAACATGGCTCCATAAACTAGAGCCCCAGGCAACATCCATTTTATGCCTGTTCCTGAGTTGTCTTCATACTCTTCTCCTAAACAACTCTTCAAATATCAGTTTTAAAAAAAAGTCTAGAAACTGTTGATATTAGATGACACATTAAATAGAAGCTTTGCATGTGTTTCTAATACTGTTAAATTTTTAGAACACTTTTATTAGAAGCTGAAATGTAAGTTATTGCAAATGATAGCAATTCTTTCAGCAGGTTCATGCTTTTCTTTTTTATTTTAAAATTCAGATTTATGCAGGTATTGAATTGGTGTAAGTAGCTGTGCTAAATACTCTGGAAGTATTTTGTTAACATCTATATATTTGCCAAGAGATAATCTACTTATTTTCTTCTCCCTTCAGTATATTAAGTGCTTTGTTTAATCTGTATTACTTTGTATATTTATCCCTCTGCCAACTAAAGTTAATAGACGAGAAAATTCTGAACAGGTGATACTTAGTGCAGGAATATTACTTCATGCCTCTATAATCCTAAAGTGGTATTTACATCTTGTCTTAAATCTTACTCTTATTTCACTTTGTTGTAATATAGCTTATACGAGATATGAAACTTCATCAATTGTAAGCTTTTTTCTACTTCTTAATATATCATCCATCTCTGAAATCTGGTTGTATCTTACAGTCTTTGGTTACAGTTTAGTTGGTAGCATTTTTAATACTAGTGCTACATAAAATATCAGTTGTGAGATGCAACATCAGTGACTTGGATTAGATTATATATATTTTTTATCATCACCCAAGGATATTTTTTTTTTTTACTGATTCCAGAGAAAGAGGAAGGGCGGGGGGAATCGATGTGAGAGAGAAAGATCAGTTTTCTTCCATATACACCCTGACCAGGGATCAAACCCACAACCTTAGGTATATGCCCTGACTGGGAATTGAACCTGCAACCTTTTTGTTGTACTGGACAATGCTTCAACCAACTGAGCCACCCAGCCAGGGCCAATAGATATTTTTTGGTTGTGTTAATTCTTCTTTTTTTTATTGAAAATATTGCAGATGTCGCTTTTTTTTCCCCATTGACCCCCTCCCTGCACTCATCCCCCTCCTGCTTTTCCCAACCAGATGTCTGTGTCCATTGGTTGTGCTAATTCTTAACTAGAAAAGCAGAATGTAGTTTTTGTGAGTTGGTTATCAGAGATCCTAGAATACCTATTTCAATATATAAAGTTTTAAACTTTCTAAATTCATGGGAGTTAAAAACAAATACGCAGAACTTCTGAATCTGTCCTAGAAATTCAGTATTAAAGGTACTGATAACTCCTCCCTAGATTTAAGCAAAAAACCTGAATTTTTAAAAACCGTTTAACTTTTGTTCTGTACTAAAAATGGTAGTCTTGCCCTGGCCAGTTTGGCTCAGCGGTTAGAGCGTCGGCCTGCGGTCCGGAGAGACCCGGGTTCGGTTCCCGCTTAGGGGCATGTGCCTCGGTTGCAGTTTGTCCCCGTCCCTGGTTGGTCGTGCGGGTGGCAGCCACTCGATGTGTCCCTTTCACATCGATGTTTCTCTCTCTCTCTTCCTCTCTCTCCCTCCCACTCTATCTGTACAAAAAATGGAAAAATGTCCTCAGGTGAGGATAAAAATAAATAAATAAATAAATAAAAAATAAATAAAAATGGTAGTCTTCGTCATTAGACAAGAGTAAAACCATGAGCCTTAAATTTTCTTTTTCTTAAAGATAATATTATGCCTGAAACTGCCATTCTAACATCTTTTGTAAATTATCATGTATGGAAGTTAGTAATAAAATAAAAAAAATTTTTTTCTAATGTCTACCTTATTTAAGTAAGCCTTTTATCTATTGTGAAGTTTCTGTGTGCTTTTAGATATTGTTAAAATAACTTTCAGCATGAGATGGATTCATTTAATGAATAATAGTTTTACAAAATTTTATAAATGGTACACAGAACAAAATTTTATATTCACATTTTTAAATTTATTTAAAAGAAATATTTGCTAAGAGTGGAAACTCATGGTACTAACTTGAGATTTGCTCTTTGGTGGTTCTTAGAGTTTTTCTCTTGTTCTGAAAGCTCACTTTCTTTTTTCTTTTAAAATACCATAGAAAGCATATGACCAGTGTTATGTGTTTAGTTGTAGTTCTGACTTAACTATTTCTTGGTAGACCAAAGAACCATCTCTTTGACTTTTTTCTCTGGTCTTTTCTTTGCTATTGCTAATAAAAGAAGAGATACAGATTAGTATAGGTTTTTTTTTTTTTTTTCCCATTTTCACCTTTCTTTAAGAAACCCTTCCTCTCCAGCAGTCAGAATTCCAAGTGACAGTTGAGAGATAAACAATTCAGTTGTTTAAAAAAAATTTAGTCCTTTTGACCCATGGATTTGTATCGTGGAGGAAAAGATTGAGCTTATTGAAGCAGAACCAACAATGGTGCCAGGTTGTTGTTTCTTAAGGTGTAGGAAGCAGAAAGACAGCAAATACCAGGTAAGGTAACCTGTTTATACACTAAGAAGTGAAAGCTCCATTTGGATGTTGGCCTGTGGATAGATGATGCAAATAAGTCAGTTACAACATCTCATTCAGAATCAAATAAAACATTTTGGGGTAAGGGTTCTTAGGTGTCATTTTTTTGTGGGGAGCATACTGACTTTTTAGCAAAGGAACAGCGTGACTTTTTAGTAGATTTTTAAGATTCAGTGATCAAGATTATTAAGTAAAACTATGGGAGTAGAAAGTTTTTTCTTCTTGCCCTACTGCCTGGTTGTATTACAGAAGAATTCATTACTATATAAGATGTAGTTTTGAAAATCATCTATGGAGGACAAAAATTGGATTAGATTAGACCAATGATTATGAAGTAAAAATGTTGGATAGGTGCTAAGCTGGGTCAGTTTTGTGCAACTGAATATTGAAAGAGCAATTGACCAAGAGTGCTTGTTAAACTGTGACCTTGTTAACGGAAATTTCACTTTATTAAATATTTGCTAATTGAGTACATGCTAGGAACTCTTCTACTTGCTGAGGCTACAGAGATGAATGAGACTTGGTTCCTGTCCTCAAGAATATGGTTTAGTGTGGAGAGAGATATATAACAGAATAGTGTGGTCAATAAAATTCTTGAACTATTTGTACAGGTTAGGAGGAAGAGATAATGAATTCCACTGGAAGGAGAGTGAGGGTGAAGATGCACAAAGATGAGACAAGGGGACAGCTAGACCTGATTTTGAAAAATGGCCATGAATTTGCCAAACAGCTAAGGAGCAATCCAGGCTGAGGGGATACAGTGTTAAATGTCATGACAATATACGATAAAATTGGTAGATTTAGAGCATATTGTAGAAGTACAAAGTATGAAGTGTAAGGAGTAGAGAGTCAGTAGGGCCTAATCATGAAGAACTTTGTATGCTGTGAAAGGACCATGAACTTGATTTAGCATGTAGGTATGCCATTGAAAGGTGCTGTAAGAATAAATAAGTGTTTTGTTTAGTATTTTAGATAGATCACTCTGTTGACATTGAGGTGTTTGAAGTTATGTAGGGGAGGAGTATATAGGGCTAAAAGTAAAATAAAACTAAATGGCTAAGTTTCAGATAACTTGGACTTAATAGTGTTGTCTTTTTTTTTCTTTCTTTTTAATCCTCATCCAAGGACATATGTTTCATGGATTCTAGAGAGAGAGGAAGGGAGCGGGAGAGAGAGAATCACTGATGTGAGAAACATTGATTGGTGGCCTCCTGTATGCACCCCAACGAGAGATCACTTGCCCAGGAATAGAATTCCAGACCTAAGGTCAGCGCACGGGATGACATTCCAACCAACTGAGCTACATCGGCCAGGGCTGTCTTATTTTTTTTTTAGTTGACATTAACGTTATATCCAACATAATGATTTGATATTTGTGTATATTGTGAAATGATCACCACTACAAGTGTTGTTAGTATCCATCATCATGCATAGTTAAAATTTTGTGTTAAGTCTTTATGTGTGATGGTATTCATCAGACATAAAGATGGACAAAAACCATCTTGATGAAAGATTTGTTAACTTATTGCATGATTTAGTTTTCACAGTTTATAAACCTGATTTAATATACTTTTGACAGCTCTTATCTCCTTTCTGATGTTAGGAAAAATTTTTCCCGTTTGGAAATTCTTCCTGTATACATCACAGAATAATCCTTATGGACTAGAGGCAGGGAGAGAAATTAGAGTATTGTGATAGTTGAGATGTGTAAAGCTGAGAGCCTAACCTAGGGCATAGAAGATAAGGGAGTTAATTTTAGAAACATGTAAGAAGTAGAATCTTAGGATTTGGATTTGGCAATGGAAAAATTAATACTGTTTGAAAAATGGTTATAATAACATTGCAAAAAAATTAAGAAACTAGGTAAATCAGGTGAAAGTAGGTAGGGGTGGGTGGAAGATGGTGTTCAAGGAAAAAGACCTTAAACCTGTTTGTCAGGGTGCCTAACTGTCTGAAGGCCTGGGGATGCTTCTGGACACACAATAAATTATGACCGCGGGGACTTTTGTGTGTATGGGGGGATGGTAGGAGCAAGGCCCATGGCAGGGGTCACATTACATGTCATGTTTTTTTTTTATTTTCTCAAATATTTTTTTAAAATTGATTTTAGAGAGAGGGGAAGGGAAAGGGAGAGAAAAACATCAATGTGAGAGAGAAACATTCATCAGTTGCCTCTCGCACATACCCCAACTGGGGGACCAAGCCCACAACCTGGGTATGTGCCCAGACTGGGAATCAAAGCTGAGACCTTTTGGTGCATGGGTCAATGCTCAATCAACTGAGCCACACTAGTCAAGGTCTACATATCATGTTTTAATATTTTATAAGGAGAGTATGTTCATATGTTACTTCTGCAATTTATAATCAGTTCTATATATTGGTCTGGGTGGTAGTTATATAACATCTATGTATTAAAAATTCCTTGAGTTCTACATAGGATTTTTTTAACTTACCCATATAAATATGTTGTACCTTAGTTTAAAAAAAAAAAATCCTTTATAAAAAGGAAGATGCCTTAGAACCTTTGACTTTTTTTTTTTTTTTCAATATATGAAGAACTGAATTGATTTTTTTTTAAATCCTCACCTGAGGACACTTTTTGCATTCATAGAGCAAGAAGGGAGAAAGAGAGAGAGAGAAACATCGATGTGAGAGACACACATTGACTGGCTGCCACCCACAAGACCCCAACCGGGGTCAGGGACAAACTGTAACTGACTTACATGCCCTTGGGGACTGAACCTGGGTCTCTCTGGACTGGGGGCTGACGTTTTAACCGCTGAGCCAAACCTGCCAGGGCTGAATTGATTTTTTTTTAATAAATGAAGAACTGAATTAATTAAAGGAACTAAGGCAAATTCTCTTCTTATCCTTAAGATTTTCTTTTGTAGTAATTAAACAATTATTCATAAAATACTTACTTTGTTAGCCAATTTATACTTTCATCTTTTTCCATCTTGTGTAGCTGCTTGTCTTATGTCTTGTGTTTGATAAATTAACTCCTTAATTATTAGCAGTCTTCTAATATGGATTATCTTCCTAAATTTTGGATTTAATTCAAACTAAACAATTTTCTTGGAATTCTGTTTCTAAACTAGTTTTACCTCATGCAAACTTGGTAAATTAAACTCTTTTTGGTGATTTTTATTTTAGCCCGATAAAGATGTTGTGGAACAAATGGAAAAATGGTGAGTTTAATTTTTTCCCCATATTGTAATAACTCACTTCTACCAAATTTGAGATAACAGAATTATTAACTATATTAATCTAGATTCTCAAAATTATTTTGGTTTTTCATAATGGAAGAGTGTGGTATGCTACTGATTGATTTGATTTGGGATTACATTAGGTTTGTGGGTCTTGTGTGTGGCAATGATTTATTTGTTTAGGCTACCATGCAAACGTGTTACTTGAATACATTTTACTTACTGGTAAAGAAGAATTACCCTTAGACCAGGAGATAATCCATGTAAAATATTTAGGAATGATATCATTCATTTACTTTAAAACATAGTTCATACATGTTTTAAATTTATAATTTTAGCATTCAAGAGAAAGAAGAGAAGTTGAAGACAGTGGAAGAATTACTTGAAACTGGACTTATTCAGGTGGCCACTAAAGAAGAGGAACTGAATGTAAAGCACATTTATCTATTTATTTATTTATTTATTTATTTATTCATTCATTCATTCATTCATTCATTCATTCATTCATTGATTTTTTGTTAATCCTCACCCAAGGATATTTTTTCTATTATAGATAGAGTGGAAGGAAGATGGAGGGAGGGAGGGATGGACAGAGAGAGAGAGAGAGAGAGAAACATCAGTGTGAAAGAGGCACATCCACTGGTTGCCTCCTTCATAACCCCAACTGGGGCCAGGGTTCAAACCTGCAACCCAGGTACATGCCCTTGACCGGAAATCGAATCCTTGATCCTTTTGGTCCAGGGGCCAATGCTCTAACCATAGAGCCAAACCAGCCAGAGTGGTAAAGCACTTTTAGATTTATTTTCCTTGTGGTTATTCAGTGAAAGGGTTTCACTGTAATTTGTATAAGATTTTTCTGATAACTTTTAAACTGCATGTGAGTTACCCATATTTTATGACATATGATTTTTTTCATTAAATTTAAAATTTTATTAGAAACATAAAATGTATTGTTGATTATAGCATTTACTACCTTAATGAAGTGCATACTGTTGTTATGGTTTGTAAAATATGCTTCCCCACCTCCACCCATGCTCAAATTATAACTACCAGACTTCATAAATTCATGAAATAGTATTGGAGGCCAGAGAAAGGAGAGACTGCAGTTCCATTTTATGATTATCATTAACTACCTTGAGTAGGATAGATAGGGTTGCTGGAGGAAGTAACTTAAGATGTTTTTGAGTTTAGGGTGACAAGTGGTTATGTCATGTAGTTGTGTAGTTGTGGAAACAGAAATAATCCTGGGGATAATTGCATTAAAATCTATTTGGCTAGCTCTAGAAGTTATAGATTGTAGACATATGAAAAAAGTGAGATTTCTGGGCCTTCCAGAGAAAAAGAATCAGCTAAAGAAAAGTGAGAAGCTAGTTTATTTTGAAGCTAGCTATTTCCCCTCCCCCCAAATAAAAGTATGTTCTCTTTATGTGTCTTTGAAAAAGGCAATAAGAACAGAAAATTCATCTTTGACGAAAGAAGTTCAAGACTTAAAGGCTAAACATAATGATCAGGTAATGTATTTAGCAGATACTGCAACCATTTTCTTTTAAACAATGGACAAACTTGTTACATTTAAACATAGCAAGTCTGTTGTTTGTCTCTTCCTCTCTTCTCCAAAGTTGAATTTGTCAATTATAGTTTTAATCTGTGAATGATAAGTGACTTGATTATCAGCAGTAGAGGATGCTGTAGAGGATGCTGACTGTATCCCAAGTAGTAGGTAGAGTACTCTAGATAGGGGAGGGACATTGCTTTTTATGACAGTGAAAGAAGGTTTGAGTATACAAATAGAAAGTGAGACTATAAATAATAGTAGAAGGGATTACGTGAAATTAGGTAATTTTTAGTTGTATTTTCTCTTTATCTGGTTAGAATGATTAGTTCAATAATTTTAACATTTATGTGTTGATTTTTCTTTTGGCCTACATTTATGATAATAAGTAACCTTAAACCTGCTTACTTTGAAAGTGCTTTTCATTTTTATAATTATGACATTAAGATCTAAAAAAATAATTACTGGGTTTACTTTTCCCATTTGTATTTTGGTGTAGTAGAAAATTTAAGGATAACATACTTTTCTATTTTTGACCCATTTATTTTGAGCAAATTACTAACTAGGATGCTTTCCTATTTCCAGGTTTCTTTTGCATCTCTAGTTGAAGAACTTAAAAAAGTGTAAGTGGTGACATGATTAAACTTGTCTTCTTTTGGTCCATTTGCTTAGTGCTGATAAATCTTGTTTTATTGTGCAATTGAGATAGTGATGTATGTTAGTTTAACTTTCACTCTATAATTTGTCATTGATTGAATAAGCTGTGATTTCCCCAGTACAATTGATTGTTAAAAATGTATTTCCATGCCCTGGCCTGTTTGGCTTAGTGGTTAGAGCATTGGCCCGTGGTCCAGAGAGACCTTGGTTCGGTTCCTGCTAAGGGCACATACCTCAGTTGCAGTTTGTCCCAGGCCTGGTTGGGGGTATGTGGGAGGCAGCCACTAGATGTGTCCCTTTCATGTCAATGTTTCTCTCTCTCTCTCTCTCACCCTCCCTCCCTCCCTCCCTCCCTCCCTCCCACTCTATCTGAACAAAAATGGAAAAATGTCCTCTGGTGAGGATAAAAAAAAAAATGCAGTTCCATAATTGATTCCATTTATTTTCTTAACCTATAGCATTGAATTGGTAATTTTCTGTTTCTGTGGTAGGAACTATTATAGAATAGGTTTTATTGGATGGCAAAATAAGTTTCTTGCTTGTATCCTCTTTATGAGATGTCTATAAAGTTTGATGCCATAATTGTGTATAAGTTCTGTCACTGCTTTTGCAGCCCTAGAAGCCAATATTGTTGCGAGGAGCTTGATTCTCCCTACTGTTCTTCAGGGTACAACTTTTATATTCTCTGTGTCCTTTTGAAGCATGTCACTAGCTTCTCCTCGTGTGCATAGGATTCAGCCATCTGATAGTTTACTGATTATTTCTCATTTAGAAAAAGCTTTAAGTATTATTTCCCCTTCTGTCTGATATGTTGCTATTTTACGTAAAATGGGGAGAGTTCATTTGGTGAGCTTATTTGGTGCTGTTCTTAATTGGTGATGATTTCTGTTCAAGTTTAATATTATGTTTCTTTATCTAAGAATCCATGAAAAAGATGGAAAGATCAAGTCTGTGGAAGAGCTTCTGGAAGCTGAACTTCTCAAAGTTACTAATAAGGAGAAAACTATTCAGGTATTAGGAGAGAGAAAACTGTTTTTTTTTTTGTTTATCAACTGTAGTGAGTACCATTTAATTCATGTGTTTGTCTGTACATTGCATTTTATGTCAATTTCTGTGTTTCCATTGTCCAATCTTGTCTGTTTTGTCATTGTCAAGGATTTGAAACAGGAAATAGAGGCTCTAAAAGAAGAAATAGGAAATACCCAGCTTGAAAAGGCTCAACAGGTAAAAATCCCAGAGCCATAGCATGACAGATTTGTTAGTGTATGTGTATTTATGAGCTACTTGGTTTTTTCTTGTTACTTGGAAACAAACGTTTAGTAGTGTGATGTAAGTATATTGGGTCATGTGCTTTTTATTTTTTTGCCTGATTTGAGAAAGCATTCTTGATCTTTTAATCGATATGTCTTTGAATTGTTGAAGATTGTTTTTTATTTTATTAATTTATTTATTGAAAATTCTTTTAAAAGATGTTTTCTGTATTAATGTTTCATTTTAGTTTGCCAATTTAAGACACAAAACACTGTGGTAAATCTTTTAACTTTTTTCTTAACTGCATGGACTGTAATATTTTGTTATAGAATATGTATTGCTCAACTTTTGCCTTTAGAACAAAGTACAGATTTCATATTTCAGGGGTAGAAATCGTTACTGGAAATAGATGAGTTTTGGTGAATTTAATCTGATTAGGCTTCACTGAAAAAATGGTAGATTGCATGGAAGAGATAATTCATTCATCCATCCAGTGGATTCATTCAACACTATTTTTTGAGTTCCTCCTACTTGTCAAAGCAGTATGTTAGTAATTGAAGATGATGTGTTGAACAAAATGGGGTATGATGAAAAGATAAAACTCCTCTAAATATAGATTGAGAGATCAGGAAAGTTTCCTCCTGAGGAATTGACATGTAAGCAAACATCTGAAGGGACTATGGGGTATGAAAGGTATTATTGAACTGTGCATAATAAGAAAATGAGATTAAAGGACACTGTAGAATGCTACTGAGTAGCTGGCCTTGAAGACGGGGAAAGAAGAGCTCTGATATGGTAGGGAGGGATGTGGACAGTTTAATGTTTTAATTTTCACAATTACAGAAGTATCACATTATTTAGACTTATTTATTATTCATAACTATATTCCTTGCCACTACCTGTCCTCCTACCTTATACTTTTACTTAGTTATTCTTACTGTGTCATCAAATCAAGAGATGATAAAATCAAATGCATCTCATTTTGGCATGAATAATTCAGCTAGGATCTTTGTAATTTGGAATGTATCTATTTTAAAGTTTGTCATAAAGTTTTTAATAAGGTAACTTGAAAGGATTATGAATGCTTTTTCTCTGCTTTTTTCTTTGTTATTTCAGCTGTCTATCACTTCTCAAGTTCAGGAGCTTCAGAACTTGTACGTACCATTTCTTTTATTTCCCTTTAATATTTCTTTTCAACAACTTAAATAACAAAAACCATAGCTTCTTTTTATTTGATTTCAAGTAATATTTTAGGGAATATCAAATTATTCCTCATAAAGGCCTTAAGGTCTTAAGCTTTCATTAGGATTTAACCTATAGGCTTTTTAAATTGGAATAGGGATAGAGTGGTGAGTTTTCTCTTTCATGATTTATAATCTGAATATGACCTTAAATTAAGGTGATGCTCTGCTCATTTCATAGCCACAGTGAAACTGGCCATATATTTCATACCCAAACCAGTTGTAATAAACCATCTAAATTTGTTGGTATTGACTTAAACAGTATGATATGGAGTGAGAGTATAGCTACCCTAATTTATCCAATATCTGGATTTGTTTTTGTTTTAATCCTCACTAGGAATATTTTTCCATTGATTTATAGATAGAGTGGAAGGGAGGGAGAGTGGGAGGGAGGGAAAGTGAGAGAGTGAGAGAGAGAGAGAAAGAGAGAGAAACATTGAAGTGAGAGAGACACATTGATTGGTTGCCTACCTCCCGACCCTGTCCAGGGCTGGGGATTGAACCTGCAACCCAGGTACATGCCCTTGACTGGCAATCAAACCTGAAACCCTTCAATCCATGGGCCGACACTCTAACCACTGAGCCAAACCAGGCAGGGCCAGTATCTGGATCTTCAGAGATAGATGAATTTAACCATCCTATGCTTTTTTTCTTGATTTACTCATTCTATGCTTTTTTAATCTCCAAAATTTTATATACCTTTATACTTAAAATATTTAATTTTTAATTTATTTAAATTAGTTTGGGCTGTAAATACAACCTAAAATACACTTTTCCATTCTCCATTATTTTTGCCTTGTATAGTCATGTAACATTTTCATTGATAGTTCTTAATTTATACCCAGATTAAAAGGAAAGGAGGAACAGATGAATACCATGAAGACTGTTTTAGAAGAGAATGAGAAAGATCTAGCCAATAGAGGGAAATGGTTACAGGTGAGAAGATAAAGACAAAGTAAACACCTTTTTTTTTTAATACTTACAAATCAATTCAATTCACACCTATTCTTTTTCAGGATCTTCAGGAAGAAAATCAGTCTTTGAAAGCTCATGTTCAGGAGGAGGTAGCACAACATAACTTGAAAGAGGTATAAACAGATTATCAGCATATTACAAAAAATAAGAATTTTTTTTTTTTACTACATTAGAAAGCAAAGAAGGTATTATGTTCTTTGAGTTTCTTTGCTTTAAAAATTATTGTTGTAAAACTCATAGACACAGACAACAATATGGTAGTTACCAGAGGGAAAGCTGAGGTGGGAGTCGTAAAGGGTAAAGGGGTCAAATATATGGTGACGGAAGAAGTTTGACTTTGGATAGTGGGGGCACACAATACAATATACAGATCATGTAACACAGGAATGTACACTTAAAACCTGTATGACCTTGTTAACCAACGTTGCCCCAGTAAATTTAATTTTTACAAAATTGGTAGGCTTTATGACATTACTAATGTGAAATCAGAATGTTATTTAATTCAATATTGATTAATAAAGATGTGTTTTTAACCCTTAAACAAAAATTATTATTGTACCATAGTTTTGTTGCTGATAAAATAAGTTAACTTTTATCTCTGTCAAGTCTGTTACTGCCTGATTTGTCAACCTAAGCCTAAAAGGAATTTCTATCCTTACATTTTTAGATGGACTCTTAAGCTCATCCTTGAGTGTTTGTTTAATTGGTATATTAATCTAATCCTTTAAAGAAATGGGTATTAAAAATTATGTTAGAACTTTGTAATTTTTTTTTTTTAATCCTCACTCAAGGACATTTTTACATTTATCTTCAGATAGAGGGGGAGGGAGAGAGGGAGGAAGAGAGAGAGAGAAACATCGATGTGAGAGAGACACATTGAGTGGTTGCCACCCACATGACCCCAACCGGGGCCAGGGACAAACTGCAACCAAGGTACATGCCCTTAGCGGCAGCTGAACCCGGCCTCTCTGGTCTGCGGGCCGATGTTCTAACCACTGAACAAAACCGGCCAGCGCAGAACTTTGTAATTTTTAATTATATTTTCTGTAAACAAAACTACTCTAAAAATCTGTTAATTGAAAAAAAATGAAAAAGCAAAACCTAAGGGGAAAAAAGAAAACAATTAGGTTAAAGAAAATTAATTCTTTGTTTTATAAATGGCCCAATCTCAGATTTACTGCATATAATTGTTTTTATTATATTGGTGAGGTATTCCATATATATACGTATGTCATTGTGCCTGGTCTTTTTGATGTTAGAATTAAAAATGTGGATCTGTTTCTTAGGCATGTTCTGCATCACGACTTGAAGAACTTGAGACTGTGTAAGTGTACTTTTAGCCAACACTTTAAAGAAAAAGTTCTCATTTTTCAGAATGTGCTTGACTATTATAATGAGTTTCTTCTAAGTCATTAACTTTCTTATTAAGTAGGAATTGTAGTTCAGAGGCAAATAAGTAAAGTCTTTGTTTGGTATAATAAAACATGGGCCCTTTAAATACTTTTGGATACCTGGAGACTTTCCAAACCCTTCAAATTCCTATTTAATATAGACTGGCTCTCAGTAAATTTTTTAAAAACAAAGTATGCAATTATTATAAAGAGAGGTCAGAATTATTTCAAATTAAAATTATTTTATTATTTGAAAGAGTAATATATTTCAACTAACCAGATGATAATGTTAACCATAATCTTGCTAATGAATATTGACTCTTTCTATAAAAGCAACTTGCTTATTGGGGAAAATTTTATCTGTTGTCATGTCAGTTATGTTGTGCAGAGAAGTAAAAATATTGAATCCGATTTGCATAGGAGGTATCAGTCTTTGTAGCTGTTTATCTTAGAAAATTTTTTATCCTATAAAGTCTCTTCTCTTAAACTAAATCAGTTAACAATGGTGAGAAGAGTATCAGAACTTTATTTTTTTGGTCCCCTATGGAATTTCCTTTAAGAGATTTTGCTTTGATGTGATGTCCCCAGTCTTTATTGATGTTTAAGAAGTCGCCTAATAATCTCTGTCTTTAAAAGTAAGATATTGAGGATATTAGGTCATTGTCTTCAGGAAAACAAAGGTACTATTTGTATTCCTGGCACTAAGATTGCTCATCTATAGAACTAATTGTTTATCTTGAGGGTATTGTGCAACTCTAGGTGCTTTTGTCACATTTGCTAATAGAAAGATTAGAGACACACTTGTTGCCTATTTGTAGTAGGTATGTAGGTCATTAAAGTATGTGATTTTCTATTTATTTTTGCCTTACATTTAAAAATTAAAAAAAAAATTAATAGAGTATTTTTTAGGAGGAACACTTTTAGATTTACATAAAAAATTGAGAGAAAAGTTGAGGCTTCCAATATACTGTTCTCCCCCATATCCCTTATTACATCTTGTATTAGTGTGCTACATTTGTTATAATTGATGAACCAATATTGATATATTGTTATTAACTAAGTTAATAGTTTCCATTAGGGTTTATTCTTTCTCTTGTACATTCTGTGGTTAAAAATGTATAATAACATGTATGCATCATTACAGTATCATAAAAAATAGTTTAGCACTCCACCTATACCTCCCTCCCTCCCCACCTCCCCACCCCCTAATTCTTGTTAACCACTGATCTTTTTACTGTCTCCATAATTTCACCTTTTCCAGAAATGTCATATAATTTGCATCATGCAATATGTAGTTTTTTTTTTTAGATTGGCTTGTTTCACTTAGTAATATGTATTTAGGACTTGCTATTTCTTTTCAGTTTTTAATCTTACTCTTTGAGTATGTTCTTTTGTCATTTTTCAGATAGACCTATATAAACATGTTGAAATTCTCTATTAAGGTGGGATAAAAAAACCCCACAACATTCAACTCAGCAACTATTTGAAAGTCTATTATTGTGCCTTCTAGCACTAGGAATACTGAAATGGCTAAAATGGGTTTCTGCCTTGAGGAAATACATAGTTAAATAGATCATTTAATAGTGATAAATGTTATGCTAGAGAAATCTTTGTTTAGGATGACAAAGGCAGTTGGGATTCACTTGGACTATATATAGTAATGTTACTGGACAGCCCCCCTAAGTCAGAGGAGGGTGCCTCTCCCCTCCTTGGCTCTTGTCAATCTTGAAAGAAAGGTTTCACAGCAGCATTGAAGCAAAGCAAGCAAATTTACTAAGAATACACTAGACATAAAGCTCAAGTGGGCAACTTAGCTAGTCTGAGCATGCACCTGTTGGGGGTTCAAGGGGATTTATACTCTGTCCCCATATAGGTTTCAAAATTTCCCTGCTTGATATCTTACATTCCTTGGGTCATAAAGTCCCATTTCCCTTAGCCTAGTCCTGGAAAAGGTACAGCTGGGAACTTAGCAGAGCTAGAAGCAGGGCCAGTGTCCAGAGTTTTCATTCTATGGTGGAACTGAGTCCAGCGTAGCATCAGGCTAATCACAATCTATTAGTCCATTGTGTGGTTGAATGTAGGGGAGCATGCCCCCTGCAACAGGAAAGCCAGAAGTGCAAGAGGGCCAAGAGCCAAGAGAGGGAACTTCTTTTGTTGAGGAGCTTGTGTATCTCAGATTCCATGCCCTTGTGGAGGCCACGCCCATTCTGGCCAATTACCTGTTTCCAGGTGTGGTTGACGGGTAAGCATCTTTCCACATCACCCAGACCTTAACTAGGCATGCATCTAAACTGCCTTTATCCAGTCCCTTCCCTCACTGATCTGCAGGGAACAGACCTGGAGGAGTGCTGCAGCTTCCTGGCAAAGCTGTATAAATGGCATGCCTATATTATCTAGTCTCCCCTCTACTCCTTTCCTGTTATTTAATAATCAGGTTGTTATAATGGTATCAGTTAGGGAGGAGAGGTATAAACCATTTGCTCTCAAATGTCCTTGGTTGGGGAAGATAACGTCCTGTGATTCACAAGCTGGCTACAAGCCGCCCAAACTGACCTTGTTTAATTTTCTTGTCTCAGTTTCCCTATTCTACTTGTCCAGGAATTCTCCTAGCTTCTTACTATCCTGCCACATTAAGACATAGCTATGTTGGATTAGGGAGAATCGGGATAAATTATAGGTACCATCTTTTCAGTATAAAGGGTTGGGAGTAAAGTTTTACAGTCAACTAATTATGGCTTTTATTTTAGATGTTCCTCCTACATAAAGCCATACTTGCCTAAGAACTGTTAAGCATGAAATAAATTGTACCAGTGTTAGGATGTACTTGACTTTGAGTTGAATAATTCTGGAAATAATTGTCTTTTAAAACAAATTTATAAGTTGGTGTAATATGGGAAGAAAGCTGATAGGTATTGTTTCTGCTTTCTTTTTTTATCTTACAGATGATATTGGAGTCTGGTTGTCCTTTTTTATGTGTATAACTAAATATAAGGTGTTTGTAAAAATTCTAGGTTGAAAGAAAAGGAAAATGAAATGAAGAGAGTGGAAAGTGTGCTAAAAGAGAGGGAGAGTGATATTTCTAGCAAAACAAAGCTGCTGCAGGTGAATATATTTACGTAAAGTTAATTATTGTGTGAATTATTGTCTTTGCATGTTTTTAAAACAATTTTAATTACTACAAATGAAAACAGAATACAGAATGACTTTCCCTCCCACCCAGTTACTGGGTCTCATTCCTCAAAGATGACTATCATTTGTTTGTATATCTTTTGAGAAGGTGCCTATGCGTGTGTGTGTATACTTAATTGTTTTTTATATTTAACTATACATATTTTTGTATTTTGCTCCCTCCCCTCATTTAATAATGTTTTTGAGATCTTTTCACATAAGCACTTTTTTTTATCTTTCACAGTATTTTGTTGTATGGTTGTATCATCCTAGATTATGGATACCTAGGTTATTTACAGTTGTGTTTCTTGTTACTGCAATTCTACGGTGAATATACTTGCACACACATTTTCAATACTTTTGCTAGTATATCTGTACCTAAAATTCTTGGAAGTGAAATTTGGGGTCAGAGGTTTATGTACAAATGTGTGTGTTTTTTTTTTCTTTCCGTTTTGAAGGGCTTAGTTCAAATAGAAAATCAGTATATCTTTACCTTTATGTAGTTAATATTGAAAGTATTTATAAGAACATTCATTTGAAGTGAAAGCAAATTTTAGATTCCTGCATTGTCTCTGATTACTCTTGTTCACATTTCATTCTCCAAGTGTTGGTTCTGTCACTGTTCCCTCCCCTTCCCAAGTAGATTCACTTTAAATTTGTTAGATAATGCTAAATCATCCTCCAAAAGTATGTTTTTCTGATTTACATTTCCACCAACTGAGGGCCATTTTCTTTTCATCTTCTCCAGCGCTGACAAAGATGAAAACATTTGGTGGTGTGCTTGGTAGATGTTCAGATTGTTTTAATTTGCATTTGATTGTGAGAGAAGTTAAGCATTCTTCCTTTGTATATGAATTGGCCTTAATTTTTCCCACATTTTGTCTCCATTTTTTTCCTTACTAATTTATAAGATACCTTTTAACATATAAGGGAAATTAGTCTTGTCATATGTGATTTGTTTTCTTAAGTTTTTCTTTTGACTTCATTTGTGTTTTTGCCCGTCTTTTGGAAGTGGAAAACTTTTATGTATTCCAATATAAGTAATTTTTTGAGTTTTAAGTTTTGAGATGAAATATCTCATGCTGTGATCATAAAAATAGGTTTATATGTTTCTAGTAATGCATTTATTTTTGTTTAGATGTTTTATTTACATGTGCTTTATTTGAGTAAGTTATGAGAATAACATTTCAAGTTAAAAAAAAAGGAAGGTTAGCCACATTATTAAACAATCCATGATTATTTTACTGCAGTAGTTCTGTCCCCCAGGGGACATTTAGCAATATCTGGAGACAGTTTTGGTTGCCACAGCTGGTGGAGGCCTGCTACTGTACCTAGTGGATGGAGACCATGGATACTGCTAGACATCCCACAGTATGTGGGACAGCCCCCCATGACAAAATAATAGCTAGCCCAGAATACCACTAGGATCTATCCTACTGGTTTGAAATGTCTCCTTATACTAGAAGTATTTGGGTCTGTTTCTGGATTCCATTTATTCCATTAAGACTTATTTCCAGGCTAGTACTAAATAATTTAAGTATTCTAATTTTAGAATTAGTGCTTATTGTACCCCTTTAAAGTAGTTACTGTTTTATAATTTTCCTGGCTTGTACGATACGTTTTTAAAGTTGGTACAGAAAATAAAAATCTCTGTCCAGGTATTGATGTTTTATTTTTGTTTAAATAGGAGGTGCAAGATGAAAACAAATTGTTTAAATCCCAAATTGAGCAGCTTAAGCAACAGGTAGGTACTATTAGTTGGCTTGCCATTTATTTACATGATGAAAAATTATATGCCCCATAATGGTCTCTAAAGTAGTCTTACCATTTTGCCTTTTTATTGAGAATAAAGTATGTTTTATTTTTATTTATAAGTGTTTATCAAATTTCCTGAAAAAGCAGTTTGCTATTCCATATCCAAGATAAAACTTATAATTTATAAAGTATACACAAATATTATTAATTTGTATTTTAGATCTGTTACTGAAACTGGACAACAGTGGGTCTGGGCAGCCTGTCACTACTTGCCAATTAAGCAGAGAAAGGTTGAATCATATATGAGTGTTTATTCCAATATTGCCAGCAGCCAGGTCATCCTGCAAAAAATCTGCTCTCCACTCCCTCCATAGCCTGTCATTTATGTTGGGTATTACATGGGGAAGTAGGCAAAAAGGAATATCAATGGGTAAAACAGTTATAGATTATAGTCATGGGGAAGTAATGGGAGCTGGGGAATGTGAGCTGCCTCCAGTGCACCGCTTCCAAGACTCCAAGGTTGTTAGTCTTTCCATGATGAGGGGAGGTCAGTTCTCTGGTAAGGAGAATGGACAGCATTCCCAAGGTAAACTCCTAGGGCGTACAGCTCCCAGCCAGGTCAGAATGGGCTTTCTTTAATCAGAACAAAGCAATCACGATTAACGGAGTAAGGATGTTCAGCATTTCTTTAACTATGGCTAGCACCCCATTATGATTAGTTCTCTATTATTCTATTATTCTCTCCTGTCTCTTTTATTATGTGTCTGTGTGTGTGTTTTTAGATCTTCTAGAATACCTTTTTTAGTAAGTCATTTAAAATCCTATGAGGTCAGTTTTAACTTATGTTTATATCCTTCCACCCCTTACCCCAAACAAAACATCAATAATTGGAGAGAAACTAAGAAATGTGTAGTATTATAAGTAATAGTTTGCCACTATCTTAAATTCTTTTTCAAGGTATAATTCTGCTTGGTTAAAATAAAATAAAAAATTAAAAGAAAAATGTTAACAAAATATCCTTTAAATTAATTGATGAACATATATGGAAAAATTAGAACGTCTTCAGGGGCAAAAAAGTAGTTCCTGTTGACAGAAGCTTATAGTAGTTTAATTTGAGATATTGTAGTCATCGAGGAATAAATATTATATGTAATGGGCTATATACTTTTATATATTATGTAAAATTAACTTTTTGTTACATGCAAGTTAACTGTCTTCCTAATTTTTCTTTTGACTTCAATTATGGTATATTTTTGCTTTTGGAAGCTTAGTGTAGTCAAATAGGAAATACACAACATGAAAATTTTGTACCTAGTGGGAAGTGGATAAATTCTTGTTAAATGAAGAGTTTAAGTATGTACTGACAATGAAGAGTTTATTTAGTACTCAATACATTTTACAAATATGTATGTTTTTATTAAAATTACTTAATGACATACAGAATATATGTTATTTTTTACCTTTGGTGTTATCTTAATTTATATTTGAGAAGAGGTAATTTTTAAAAGTCTCTGGAAAGCTTTGTTTTGAAATAACATTTAACTCTTTTAATAGGCATCTTCTTTTTCCTCATATGAAGAACTATTAAAAGTGTAAGTAAAAATTATGTTTCATAATTTGGGAAGTGGTAACTTTTTATGTGCTAAATAGTTCTAAAACAAGCATTTTAAAATAACTGCAAATGGTCATCAAATTTTTACAGTTCTTTTTGGATTTTTTGAACTGCAGATCAGTAGTTTAGTTGTGCCTTTGAGCTTATGTACCTTTTTACGGTGTTTGGATTTCTTTGAACATTTTGTTGAGGGAGATTTTTATTTTATTTTAGTTTTTTTAAGCATTCAGAGAACATCTAATAAACGATACTTTGAAGGCTTTACTTATTTCACTTATATTATCTCATTTATTCTATCATTGTGGAATTGAATGATGAAAATTTTGGTTTAGCTTATACATTTAAAAAACATAATCTTTATGGTTGCTCTCTTTTTAAGAAGACTTTTCTTTTTAAACTGAAACTTTTATTTTATTGCTGGCCTATATTTTTAAGAGGCTACATTTAAGGTCATTTCAGATAAGTTGGTATGCTTCAACTGGTTAAATGTCAACCACGTTAATTATTACATGCTATAAGTAATCTAAATGTTATTCTGTCATGACTTGTTTACTAGTTTAGAATTATTTACTGTCAAATTGAGTTGAGTTTGACCATATAGAGCATAGGTAGACACACTTTTTCTATAAATGGTCTGATGGTGAATGTTTTAGGCTCTGTGGGCCACATAGGTCTCTGTTTCACATATATATATATATATATATATATATAAAATAATTCTTTTAAAATGTAAAATCACTATATATATATACACACATATATATGTATATATGCATATGTATATTTTAAACAATTCTTTTAAAATGTAAAAGCATTTCTTGGCTTAAGGACCATACAATACCAGACCAGTTGGTCAGGCCCAGAGCCTTAGTTTAGCAACCCCTTATATAGAGCTGTATTCTTAGGTAAGAGCTACTTGTAATTTCACTTTCTATTCAAGCTCCTCTCCACTGTAACAATTGAATTGTGAGTCTTTGTCATTGCTTCCACATTTCTGGGAAATAACTAACTCATTAGACAGAGCCAGAAAAACAGAAACCTTGAGACTGTTAACAAAGTTACAAGGGAACCACCAGTCTTTTTACTTTAATGGCATGCTTTTATTGTGGGTTAGCCTCTTTAAGAAACTCACAACTGATTTTATTACCTTCTGGAAAAAAGTAGTTTAAGAGAGTGCTTCTACATCAATTTCACTCTTCTGAAAATACAGTAAACCCTCGATTTTGCTTACCTTGATTTAATGGATTTCGGATTAATGGACATTTCTACACATATGTCATGTGTGAAAATTAATACCCTGTTAATTTTAAAATGCTTTCAACCAAGATTTGCTTATAACTAAATTAACGGGCTATTTTTGTTATTAATTCACTATTATTTATTTATTCTTTAATCCTCACCCAAGGATATTTTTCTGTTTATCTTCAGATAGAGTGGGAAGGAGGGAGAGAGAAGGAGAGAGAGAGAGAGAGACACACATTCACCTGTTGCCTCCCGCATGACCCCGACCAGGGCCGGGGATGAACCGCAACTGAGGTACATCCCCTTGACCAGAGTCGAACTCCCTACTCATTGGTCCACAGGCTCTAACCACTGAACAAAATGGGCCAGGGCTAATTCACTATTATTTTTAACAGATTTTAGTGAATAGGCCATATGTTGGAAAAAACACTGTAGTAATTTTGCTGACATAAATAAATAAAACATATTTACAACTATAGTCTACATACATAAACCCAAGAGTCATTGCTTATAAACAGTGTTGGTGAATGATTAGCACGTGATCACTGCATCATGGCTGCTAATTGGTTCTGTTGTCCCTGGCATGACTTTCTGCAGCATTTAAAAAATATATATGTTTTTATTGATTTTTTTTTTTTTTTTTTTAGAGAGAGAAGGGAGAGAGAAAGAGAAACATTGATCAGCTGCCTCTTGCACACCCCCTATGGGGAATTGAACCTGAAACCCAGGCATGTGCCCTGACTGGAAATCAAACGGGACCTCTCAGTCCATGGGACTACACTCAATTCACTGAGCCACACCCACCAGGCTCTCCAATGTTACCATGTATGCAGCTAAGCCATGCTTCAGCTATGTGCGTTTGTTTACTCGAGGTGACAGGTGAATGCACCCATTAACTAGACCTGTTCAGTATAAATTTTAAATTACAATAATACATATAGAAAACTTTTCTGTGAAATTAAACTTTTATACATACTTAATTTTAATTACACAAATGTGTGTCTGTAAGTAAAAACAGGTAAACTAATTTGTCAAATATTTAACATAAGAATTTGGAAAACCTACTTTATTAACAGACTTTTGGATTTAACAGACACCTCTCGCCCAAATTAGTCTGTTATATCGAGGTTTTACTGCTACTTCACTACCCTAGATAAAAATAGAAATGACTGCAACAGTTTATATATTCATGAACTGTTTCTTAGGGGATTATTTCACTTTAACACAAATGTCAGCATGTCATATTGTAAAAATTCGTTTTAAAAATGATTTCTGAAAGTAAGAATTCATAGATAGGCCTTCTATGGTAATAGTAGTTAAGCTTAATGAGTTTGCCTGTTAATGCATTTTTAAAGTGTCTTCTGCTTGCTGTTTTTATTTTGTTGTAACAAATATTATATTCATTGTTTACCTAAAATATTTTGTGTATTCATGTTCTGGTTTAGAATTTCAGAAAGAGAGAAGGAAATAACTGGTCTCCAGAATGAGATAGATTCTTTGAAGGATGCTGTTGAACACCAGAGGAAGAAAAACAATGTAAGCAAATCTTTATCAGAGCAAAGCTTTTCTTCTTAATTAGTTCACTGAAATATCATGATTCAGAATTTAAAAAAAAAATCTTTTCAGATTTTTTTCTGAATCTTTTTAAGTGCTATTTTTGTGTAGCCTTTTTGGGGAGAATTATTGGGGTAATTTTATTGGAGAAAATATTTTCTTTAAATGAAAAGACCAATTTGTATACTTGTGAATATTATTTAAAATACTGAAGCTATAATTATTACAGCTTCAGATAGAAACACATTTTTTAAAATTATAAAATGCAGCTGACTTTCAAATGAACTTTTATTTGGGAAACTTATAATTTCAGTTCATCATTTTAAAATCAAAGGTATTTTTCTCTTATTTTGATTGGGCTAACCTCTTTGTAAGCTAAAAGTAATGCCAGTATTCAAACCAAGTATTTTCAATAATGAAAGGTCTTCCAAAGCCTTCTGGAACCTCTCTTTTTTAACTGAGGTGGTTTGAATTTTGGAAATTAAACATGTTAGAGGTCTCTCAGGACCTGAATACTTTTGTGCTAAAATGGGAAGGGATGGTATGCCCTAAGACATATAAATCCTGATACTCTTATTAAAAAGAAAAATAATGAATTAAGATGAATTTCTTAAATTCTCTCTGACCAGGTGACACCTGTGAGAAAAAAAAAATTTTGATAGAGAAGGAATTTTTGCACACAAAAGTATGATTGCTAACTAAGCCTTAAGCAAGGTTAAAAATGTTATTGAAATCTAAGGCGATATTGATAGTAAATCAGTATGTGTTTTCTAATGAAAGTAAAAATTTTCAGTTTGCATTAATTTGTTAATTTAACAAGTTGAAATGTTCCTGCACCCCTGAGTTTGTCAAAATTAGGTATGTGAACTGCCCTTATGTGTTTGTGTAATGTTACTAACAGCATCAGCATCGCTTGGCCACAAAACCTGAGTTGAATTTGCCACTATACTGCTAACACCCTAACTGTGTTTTATTATCGGGATTCTGAGATAAGGAGGGCATAGTAAATGCCATTCTAATGCAGCAGCAGCAGCCCAGCGCTGGAGGCACTGATGTGTGTGAAAAGAGCCACACAGAGGCAAGCAGATTGCTAGTTCTGCCACTTCATTTGCTGTGTTCACCTGACCAAATTTCTTAACCTATCTGAGCTGTGGATTCCCCCCCATCTTTACAATGGGAATAAATACTTCTTAGGGTTGTTGTGAGGATTAATGAGAATTTATGTGAAGTGCCAAACGCAGTGTGGGGTACACAAGTAAGCATTCAATAATGGTGATTATTGGCTTTTTGTTCTTCATCTGTTTGGATTTCTAAATCTGAACAAAGACTGAAATATAGCAGATTGTTCTTTTTTTGTATTTGCTAATGAAATGCTGTTAAATAGATCTTTCAGAGTTCAGTTTCCAATGACCTCTGTTTCTCTTCCAAGAGAATGTGTTTTATAGCCTTCCTGCCTCCTGGTTTGCCTGGATCAAGTAGCTCATACAGTTCATGTCAGGTTGCTTTATGGCATATACATTTGACCATGCCAAGAAAGATACAGAAGCACAGTGAGTTACTATGTCATTCCTAGGTAGACTTGAAATGTGTTAATTCAATAAAACATATTTAGAGAAAAAAATGTTATGCTTCAGTGGAAAGTCCCACAAGTGATACTGGGCCTTGCTTAAAAATCACCTGTAAAGCTTTTTGCAATTCTTGTGTATTTGCTCTGTCCTTAATCCTTTAATATTCAGTGTACCTGATATCATACTTAAAATCTTGGTATGTGTGTTTACTTTCGAATGCTTTCTTCTTTGTCACACGTGCACAGTAATTACTTTAAAGCTGGCATATTTGGCGTGTATACTAAAACATGCAAAGTGGGCATCTTTATTTTCTCATTCAAATTTCTAAACATTGCTTTTTATTTTTTGCTAATATACATATTTTTCCATTGAGATAATTTTGCAGTAACCAGCATTTAAATGCAGTGCAAAATACTGATGAAGTAAAAAGCAAAAATCTTTCAATAATGGATAAACTGAAATCATTCTTTCTAAAAATGATTAGGACCTTCGGGAGAAAAACTGGGAAGCAATGGAAGCATTGGCATCAACTGAAAAAATGCTGCAGGACAAAGTGAACAAGACTTCCAAGGTTGTAATGCTGACTCCTAGAATCAATCCACTGAACAGAGAAAATCTGCAGCTTGTCTTAAAATCAGACTAAAGCATTTAATTATACTGCAATTTAAATATAAAAATTTCCTTATCCATCCACATTTATCATCTCTGCCACCTCTGCTTTTTTCATCTACTCCTTTGAAGCTTTAATTTTGGGCTTGCTGGTTTGTTGTGATTACCTGATTGTTTGAGATTTGGTGATGACTGCTTTAAGCTTAAGAGTCTCAGGAGATGTATGTAAGCTCTTGTGAGTCAGTGTGTGCCTCTTGAGTTGGTTAAGAAAACTTGGATGAAAACCCTGAGCCAGAAAAATCTAACTGAATTAACAAACACATTTAAATACCTAGGATGTACCTACAGTGCCCAGAGAACTCTCCTAGGTTCTTTGGGGCACACCAAGATAACTCAGACAAGGTAGAAAATAGTAAGTCTTAAAGAAGTGCAGGGAAGGGATCACTTCTTGGTGTGTAATTGGGGATGGTTCCTTAGAAAAAGTGAAATTAGAATTAAACTTGAGGTTTTGAAGTGGCTGGACAGTAATGCATGTGTTATGTTTAGTGTGGACTATTAATATAAGGGCTAATTCTCATGACCTGAGTATGTACAGTACTCCGGAAACTTATATCTTCCTTGTCTTCAATGTGATAAAGGATATTCTCCCTGAGTTCAAGTTGTTCCATGGGTTTGAAGATTTTTTTTTTTTTTTTATCCTCACCCGAGGACATTCCTCCATTTTTTGTTCAGATAGAGCGGGAGGGAGAGAGAGGAAGAGAGAGAGAGAGAAACATCGACGTGAGAGAAACATTGAATGGCTGCCACCCGCACGACCAACCAGGGCCGGGGACAAACTGCAACCGAGGTACGTGCCCTTAGCGGGAACCGAACCCGGGTCTCTCTGTACCGCAGGCCGACGCTCCAACCGCTGAGCCAAACCGGCCAGGGCGGGTTTGAAGATTTTTAATGAATTATAAATAAGAAGTTGTTTTTAAAGACTGAGAGAAAGGAATGTGCCAGTTCAGTCAGGCATTTTGAAAATTCCTAGTATGTGGAACAAATATAGAATTTTACAGATGGGTTATTAATAAAACTCATTACTTATGTTATTCAGTTCAACATTCTATAAGTATTTTGTGTGCCAAGGTAATCTGCTGACTTTTAAATATAAATCTTAGTGACATTTAAAGGACTTCTTTTTAGTAAAGTTTTTACAAATATTTTAATCCAAGTATATGTTTGTATTTATATTTTCTTTAGTGTAATGGAAATGTATGTATATACTTATTCACCTGGCCCTAATTTTCACTAAAACCTAAACTAGAGACTTTTGGCAGATATTGGGACCAGAGAAATCTAGTACAGGGAATAGAAAAATCTAGGCCAGGTAGGACATTGTTTCTGGCATAGTTTCTGGTTGTTCTTATAACTGCTTTTCACTGTTAAGAGTTACTTTTTAGCTTTTGTTTTGGTAATGAGACTGGGTATCCACGAAGTACTAATCTCTTAATCTTGCAAGAAGTTATATATGCTACTGTCATAGGCATTCTGGCTAGAGTTTATGCATGTTTCATCATGAGCTTGGTGATGAGTGAGTATAAGAATTTATCCATGTTTTCAAACTCACCACCAAGTGCATGATGGCTTCTTGCATAGCTAATAATGTACAGAGAATAGAATTTATAATCTTTCTCTATTTTAATGGAATCTAGTCCTCAGATAGCATAAGTGTAAAGTGATATTGATTGACCTAGGACCACAAGTTGTGCTGTAAGGAGTATATATTCTTGAGGAGTTACTATAAATGTTAGGTTCACATGAAAGATTATATATAGTACACTTAGGTAAAGATAGTAAGGAAATTAAAATGGTGTAACTTTCCATTATCGGATATTTTCCAGGTGTTACAGAGGAATGGAAATTGTATGCACAACCAAACTACTTTGTCAAATGAAAACTTTTTAGCTAAAATTGTTAGTACAGACTAAAAGTAACTTATCTTTATGCCTCTTGGTTAAAAGTTACACACTTATTTATTTTTTTTAGATTTTTTTTCTTCTTGGGAAGTTTTCCAAAAAACTTCTCTTCCACAGTGTCTCTTTTTCTAAGTGATTTTCTTTAGAGATTGCTCTACCATTTCTGTGGTCAGATGGTAAAAATGACTTTTTAATTGTCTTTGAATTGCCAGTTAAACATTTTCCTTGAATGAATATACCTTATTTTATGCAGTTATGTGAGTGTATTCCTGAAAAATAGTCAATTTTTATTGAATTATTTAAAATATTCCATAAAAACTTCTATTTTTAAAATCCTGCAACTAATCCTGAATAAAGTAATAGCTTTATGTGTATAGGTATAGAGAATATGATTAATATTCTTTAAATAACTTAAACATTTTTTTTTCTTTATTGATTTTAGAGAAGAAGGGGTGGGGGAGAGAGAATGAAACATCGATTGGCCACCTCCTGCATGCTCCCCACTGGGGATTTGGCCCACAATCCGAGCATGTGCCCTGACCAGTAATTGAACCTGGCCACACTGACTGGGCAATCTCTAGCTTTCTATTGTGTGACTTTAGATTTTTATGTTATTAGATTTTCTTAAATTGAAATTTATACATCTTAAATCTGTAATAGATTTCAAAGATCACATTTAAATGGTGGGGGTAGAGTTGAGATCTTGCTAGCTTGCTTGTATTTTTGTCACCTGTTGAACTTGACAAATGTTTTGATTTTCTTGGCTTGGTTTAGATGTGCATTTTTATAACTCATTTTTTATCTTTTGTAGATTTTTATTTGTGTGTGATCAAGCCATTACCCTAATTTTGACAAACCATGGTTTTATGTTAATTAATATCCATTAGACTTGGATTTAAATTCACCAGACTTAGGCATGCATTTGTAATACTTTAAATTTATAGCTGACAGAGTATACACAAGTGTCAGGATTAGTCTTCCTGATGTTTGGCATTGGTGAAGTAATAATGACATCAGTTTTGCCTCGTCCTCTTTTTCTCATGTGTACCACCCATCAAATTTTTATTTATTTCTTTTGCTTTGTTTAGAATAAGTATTTTCACCTGACCTTGCAGCTGGGAATATGAAAGTTGGCATTTTAATCCCCTGGCATTATAGTTCATTGGTGATGTGTTTTTTTATAGAGAAGTGCCAGACAGTAAGCCTCAATTATGTTGCCCACATGCATACTTTTTGCATGTAGTTTGTTTCAGCTATAGAAAGTGTTTTTTGTAAATGGAGTTTAAAGGTTTAGCTACAGGAAGTATATTTTGTTTTTTGGGTTTTGAAGTGTTCCTGGAAGGGCAAATCACTTGATTTCTAATGGCAAGGAAAATATCCACATTGTCAGATACTGCCTTGGCTTTATTAATATAAGATATTACTTGTTATTTGGGATGCTTTAGAGATTTTGCAAATTTTTTTATGGAAGCATTTTGACATTTTAAAGTGGGAAAATTTGGACATTTGTTAGTATTAAGATGAATTTTTAAAAATACTTTGACTTTTTCCTCCCTTAAAGCTTAAAAGATTGTAGCTTTTTTCTTTTTTTTAATTCTATAAACTTGTAAGTTTGATTTGAACTTCTGCTTTAGGAAAGACAACAACATGTGGAAGCTATTGAATTGGAAGCTAAAGAAGTTCTTAAAAAATTATTTCCAAAGGTGTCTGTTCCTTCTAATTTGGTAAGATTTATTTTTTATTTTATTTATTTATTTACTGAAATTATAACTTTCATTTTGTTGTGGAAAGTTAATATAAGCACCATGAAGGGAGAGACATTGGCTGTCATTTTTACTATTACATATCTGGTAACAAGTAGGTGCATAGAAAATATTTATTAAATGAAAGGAAGGCAGAGGGAGGGAGGAAAAATGGAGGATGAAGTAGAAAGTGGGGGAAGGGAAACAGAGAGAAAGGGAGAGGAGAGTGAAGGGGTAGGGAGAAAGTAATTAAGTTGGTCCAGAAAGCATGACTTTAGAATAAAACGAAGAATGAAATGACCTCCCTGGCCGGTTTGGCTTAGCGTTTGGAGCGTTGGCCTTCGGTCCAGAGACACCTGGGTTCAGTTCCCGCTAAGGGCACGTACCTTGGTTGCAGTTTGTCCCTGGCTCTGGTTGGTTGCGTGGGTGGCAGCCACTCAATGTGTCCCTTTCACATCGATGTTTCTCTCTCTGTCTCTTTCTTCCTCTCTCTCCCTCCCACTCTATCTGAACAAAAAATGGAAAAAAATGTCCTTGGGTGAGGATAAAAAAAAAAAAAGAATGAAATGACCCACATTCTTTGTTTTATCCTAATTTATTATTTTTAAAAACATGACATTTTTATTACTATTCAAGGAAGTTGTGAATAAGCAGCATTTGCACTCTGTACTTGATTTCAGTAGTGCACCAGTTCATTTCCATTTTTAACCTTAGGGTGCTTTTGAGTAGTGAAGATCAGTTACATGATTCAAAACTCATTTCTATTTATTCACCTGATACTTTTGTTGTATTCTATAAAGTTTAAATATGAGACATATTTAGAAGATCATAAACATAATATTATTTGGGAAAGAATGATTTCTTATGATTAATCAGCCATTAATCTTAATGGCTTTATTCAAAATAGAACGTAATTTTAAGTGATTGCTTCTTAGATTTAGGAACTATTTATTTATTTATTTTCTTTATTGATTTTAGTGAGGAGGGGAGAGGAGAGAGATAGAAGCATCAATGAGAGAGAACATCAATTGGCCACCTCCTGCACCCCACTAGGGATTTGGCACACAACCTGGGCATGTGCCCTGACCAGGAATTGAACTGGTGACCTCCTGGTGCATGGGTCAACGCTCAACCACTGAGCCACACCGGCTGGGCAGGAGCATTTTATTTTTTAATTAAATGTATTTAGTACTGTGAACCAAGCTCTTTTTATTTCAAAACTCAAGATTTTGGTCATCTGTTAAGATTTTCAAGTAAGTCTTGAAAATATATAGAACAACCTTATTTGAGGTTGTGTATGTTTTAAGTGGGAGAGAAAAGTAGTTTTGATTCAGAGAATTAATAGAATGAATATTTGAGCAGAGAAAGCTACTGAATGCACATAGTTTCCTAAAATGTTGGTGTAGACCTTTTTATTTTAATGGAGAATTGTATACATACCCAGAAGTAGAGAGAATAGCATAATGAACCTGATGTACCCAACATAACACTTCAACAATTATTAGTACATGGCATGAATTGATAATACATACCATCTTGTTTGACCTCCTACCCCGCACTTCCTAGGTTATTTTGAAGGAAGTCAAACATCAGAGCATCTCATCTGTAAATATTTCAGTATACATATATATAAAAGAAGGATTTCTTAAATTAAAACTATTACATCTTAAAAAAAACCCTTAATTTTATGTCTGTCTAGTCTCAGTATATCTCTCTAGTTGTCATATCAATTGTCTTTTTTAATGAAATAATAACTACTTATTGTAGTTTGTTTTAGTTGGGACCCAAGTAAGGGTCAACATATGATTCGTTTAAGATGTCTCTTAGATCTTTTTTATTCCATTGGTTCCCTTCTATTTGTTAACCAATTCTCACCCCTTTTTAAAAAAACAAACACACCCTGATGGTTTTATATGCATTTTCCCACTCTGGATTTAGCTGACAAAATGAATCCCTGTAGTTTGAATCCCAAAATGTTTCTCTGTCCTTTGTGTATTCCATTAATTGGTAGTTAGTAGAGGCTCGATTAGATTCAGGCTCAATACTTTGGGAGTAGGATGGGGTGGGGGCAAGATGACTTCCTAGACAGTGCATGCACTTGATCAGCATAGGAGAGACCTGAGCTGGATGGAGGTTTACAATATTGACACAACCAAATCACTTTTTCAGCTGACTGTCATTTATATTGAATCCCAGTATTTGTAGTTAAGGAGGATTTTAATAGTATTCATTTAGTCTTGGTAAAAATTTATAATGTGAGAATGTAATTTTTTTTTTTTTTTTTTTTACTAATTTATGCTATGTGGGTATACTATTATTGTACTATGGGGTGATCACAGCATGCCATTTCCCCCCCACTTTTTATTGTTTGATAGAGTACAGAGAATCCTAATTCAGCCATATAAATAAAGCTTTAAATTACAGCAGTTAATAGAGATTTCATTTGTGTTCTCTTTTTCTTAGATTAAACTAAACCAAAGACTTAAAAGAAGACTAAGAGTAAATTTGACTTAAAGTATCTAACAAATAAATACTCTATCAAAGTATAAAATTTAGATAAACATAACAAATATAGAATGACTTGTTCTAAAATTTAGAATAATGACTAAAACTATAATACATGCCTTTGTTTGCATCAGCTAACCTGTCAAATAGTTTTTGTTGGTTTAAACAAGTAAATGTTTGTGTATTTTTATAATTTCTTATGATTTTAAAAGCCTTTCATAATACATATTTATTTTGAAATATTTTCAAAATTCCTGGAGCACCTTTAGAGAATTTGTAATCCTCTGAATAGAGTATCTTCAGTTAAACTCTTAGTTTATAAATTCAGAATACTTAGTTTTTGGGAAATGGTTTACTTGAAAAAAATGTTTTGAAAAGTCATTCATTCTAGTATTTCTGTGTTTTAAGGATTGAATTTTTTTTTTTTATCCTCACCAGAGGACATTTTTCCATTTTTTGTTCAGGTAGAGTGGGAGGGAGAGAGAGAGAAACATCGATGTGTTCGAACACATCGAGTGGCTGCCACCCGCACGACCAACCAGGGCCGGGGACAAACTGCAACCGAGGTACGTGCCCTTAGCGGGAACCGAACCCCGGTCTCTCCAGACTGCAGGCCAACGCTCTAACCGCTGAGCCAAACCGGCCAGGGCAAAGATTGAATTTCTTAGTCCTGGTGCTAATAAGTGTTGAAGGCTGGATTTGGGCTCAGATATTTTACCTATACATCTATAATTTACTTGCAAATATTCTTGGTCTGGGTAGATACAATTTAAATTTAATTTTTTTTAAATATGATTTTATTGATTTTGTTTTAGAGAGAAAGGAAGGGAGAGCGATAGAAACATTGCTGTGAGAGAGAAACATCAATCAGCTTCCTCCTGAATGCCCCCTTCTGGGCATCGAGCCCACAACCTGGGCATGTGCCCTGACTGGGAATTAAACCGGGACCTCTCAGTCCATGGGGTGACGTTCAATCCACTGAGCCATACCAGCCAGGCAATTGAAATTAAATTTTGATGGTAGTACATAGGTGTGTGTGTGTGTAATTAAAACAATTTTAGAGGATGTTTATTAAAGCTGGAGATAGTGAAACAAGGAAGGGTCTAGGATAGAAGAAGCAACAGGAGAGGTACTAGGTGGAAAATGAGTATAGGCTGGGCCGCTGTGGCTCACTGGAAAGTCAGAGAAAAGGGGGCCTTGGGAACAAGGTCAGGGGGTTACCCTGGGATGAGCTGCCACTGCCCATTGCTCCCTTATTGCAAGTGTCATGGGGTCCCTTAGGGTTTAGGAGATGCATACCTGTAGGAGAAGAAAAAGGGGAAGGGAAAAGTGCTTGTGCTCCTGGAAGGGAGAGCACACGCCCATAGGTATATATTTAGTGTTTGTTTTCAAGGCTTGGCTATGTACAATTTATAAAAATTTTTTTTTCTTTATTGATTTTAGAGAGAGAGGAGGAAGGGAGAGAGATGGAAACATCAATGATAGAGAACATTGATGCCTCCTGCATGCCCCAGACTGGGGATCGGGCCCACAACCTGGGCATATGCCCTGACCAGGAATTGAACCGGTGACCTCTTGGTGCATGGGTTGACACTCAAGCACTGAGCCACACTGGCCGGATTGATTTTTTTTTTTTTAGAGAGAAAAACATTGATTGGTTGCTTCTCATATTTGCCCCAACTGAGGATTGAACCCACAACCTTGGTATATGCCCTAACTGGAATTGAACCCACAACCTTTTGGTGTACAAGGTGATGCTCCAGGCCAACTGAGCCACTCAGCCAGAGCTGTTATGCACAATTTATGCATTATATATTTTTTTGAAATTTCCAGAGGGTTGGTATTTATCTATGTAGCTTTCATTTATAACCATCTAACTTAGTTATTTAAAATTTTTTACCTACTTAAGATATTTTTGGAAATTAGTTATTTTTACTTTTCTCCACAGAGTTATAGTGAATGGTTGCGTGGATTTGAAAAGAAGGCAAAAGAATGTATGACTGGAACTCCTGGTTCAGAGGAGGTTAAGGTTAGTTTAAGAAGTGACGTTATCTGTATTTTAACTAAGAAGTTAAATAAAGAAGTAAACAGAATTTGTCTTTATGAGCTTGGTAAAGATAAAAGATGTATTATGAGTAGACTAATGATTTTGGAGAAAATATGAAGTGATTTCATTTTGTGTACATTTTGGTGAAAATGTGTAAGTCTTCCTTACATTTGATTTGTATACAAAATTAATGTTTGCCATTTCTTTAACTCTTTACAGCTCATTTCTAAAACTGAGTATCTCTTACTCTCTTTTTAGCCTTAGTTTAAAAAGTAAAGCTCATTTGAGGTAGGTAGGTAGAAACTGACTGGTTTGCTAAAGTATCTCCAAATGCATCATTAGAAGTGTTCAGAACCTAGATGTGTTTTTATCCTTGACTGCTGAACTTTGGGAGATTAACTCTTCCTTGTATGTCAAGCGACATAATTAAAATCCCCTTTTCCACGTTTGTAGCTTGGTGTTACGACTTTACTTCATGTGAGGATTTGCTTTGATTTTACCATCCTGCTAAAGAGTAGACAAGCCTATTTATTATAAAATTGTGTCATATATTTTATAGTAAGCTGACTTGGGAGAGTTTTATTGGCAAAACCAAATGACCAAAAAGGTCATTGAACTTTATTGTTCTTTAAGAAGGTTGAAATGTAGTGTTTCATTGTAAAGCAGTTAGAAACCATTTGTCATAATATACCAGTAAGTACTGAAACAAGTTTGAAGCACAGAATTTTCTGGTAAAACTAGAGAATTTTTCTTTGTCATTCTTTGCAGGTTCTAGAGCACAAGCTGAAAGAAGCTGATGAAATGCACACATTGTTACAGCTAGAGTGTGAAAAATATAAATCCGTCCTTGCGGAAACAGTAGGAAATGATTTTTAATCTACATTTTGGTTTTATTTAAAAATCATTAACTTATTCCTTAGTAGCTTAGTTTATTTTAGCAAAAGAACATGGTATTTTATTTTATTTTTTTAAACAACTATACTTTTGTCCATAGGAAGGTATTTTACAGAAGCTACAGAGAAGTGTGGAGCAGGAAGAAAATAAATGGAAAGTTAAGGTCGATGAATCACAAAAGACTATTAAACAGGTATTTAAAAAGGAAGAGCTTAAAGCAGTGATTCTCAAAATGTGTGCCCTGAACCAGCAACATTAGTATCACCTGGGAACTTATTAAAAATGCATTCTTGGGTCTCACTGAATCTGAAGCTCTGTGGGGCCAGCAGTTTGTTTTAAAGAGCTTCTCAAGCAATTATGATTCCCACCCAAGATTGAGACTCACTGGTTTAGAGTACAACTAAAAGATAATGATAAAGAATGTATAGTACTTTGGAAGTAAAGAATTTGGAGTTCAGAATTGACCCGTAGCAACGAGGACTCTAGAGGGGGAGTGAGGATGAGGAGGGACAAGAGACACGAGAAATGGAGACAAGACAGGGCTCTGATCAAGTCTCATTTATTCTGGGGAGATCCACACTATATATAGGGCAAGAAGCAGAAAAACAAGAACATTTGTTGCCAAGTGATAAGTTTGTGGTAACCACCCTGAAGCAATTTCAAGTAAATATCATGGGTGGAACAAAAGATAAACAGAGTATAACTGGCTGAGTAAATGGTTACTTAAAGGAATGCAGCAACATAGTATGCAGAGATATATCCTGCCTTGGGGCAGGAGATGGCAGAGCAGATTTTAACAAAATGGATGCCATGCAAAAAGTCTCCCACAGGTCCCCTTTTCTTTAATTTTAAGGCCGAAATAATACCTTGAGGGGACTGTGCCTGTCTTAGGTCAGGAAACTTTCACACGGTGCCAACCTGTCCGAACCCGTCATCGGAATAGCAAGGCAGCATAAAGCCTTGTTCCTGTCTTAGGTGGTGGTTGGCGATGCGTGTGAGTTCCAGTTGCCCGTCTCTGGCTATCCAGTCCAGCGCACCAAGGTAACAAGGTTTTTGAGACTCACTGTTTGCCATCTCGGGCATAGTCATAGCTTACCGACTCACAGCTAGAGTGAGCTTCTCTGTCGGCCATTTCAAGTCTATGATAATGGACCTGTATAGATTGCATCTTAATGGCATCTATCTGCTGCTTGATGAAAGCCATCACCTTATTGAAGAGGAAAGGTCCTAGTGACACAGTCAGTAAAAGGCCAAGTAAGGGGCCCAACAGAGGGAGAAGATAAGGCAGCACCCCATATAGCCCGCTCCAAAGGGGGTTATCGAAAAGTTCTTTTCTTCTTTTTATTAGGTTTTCCTGTAACCTCTTGATCTTGTCTCTGACGATACCAGACTTATTGGCATAGAAGCAGCAACGTTCCTGCAAGGCAGTCGCATGGGGGTCAAATAAGGCCCTCAGGAGCTCGTCAGGGTTTGGAGGAGGCCCAAAACCTCCTTCCACAAGCAGGCAAAGATGCAGTAGTATCCCTAGCAGTAAGATTTCAGCCTCCCGGTCCATTCCTGAAATAAAGAAAAAACAGGAAAAGGCTCTCAGGGCGAATTTTCGTCCCTGGAGTTATCTATATGGATATCTGTTATTCCTTTAACTTGATCAATCTGTTTAACCAGACGCTCTGGTAGCCATCTGGCAATTCCCAGGCGTAAGCCAATTCTCGGCTACTGATTCTAAAATTGCCATAGTATACGGGGCTGTGGCTCCGTATTGTGCTACGGAGCCTTTATTAATTTAAAATCAAACCCGCTGTGGTGGCGCCAAGCCTGTCCTTGCGCGTCCACTGTATCTGTTACTGGAAAAGCCTCTATATCATCTAGCTCCGGTGCAGGCTGCGCGCGGGGAGGGATCTTTGGGGCGGCTCCCCTCATGGGTGGTTTTTGATTCCCAAGGGTTTCCTGGTTTTTTCTTCCTCATTATCACTATCGAATGACATGAAGTCCTCACATTCTTTACTTTCATTTTCATTCCCCTTTTTTTTCTTTATTTCCTTTTTTTCTTTCTTTAATATACCCTCACCATTTTCTACTACATTGGCAATGAGGGGATCAGAATGTCTCTGAGATAGAATTTCATCTATTAAATTCCAATAAGAAAAAGCAGTTACCGGGACCTTCTCAGGTCCATAAGTCCTGTAGTAATCTTTAAGAGCATCACCGATTATTTTCCATCGTTTTTGATCTATAGTTCCCTCTGTAGGAAACCAAGGGCAAACTTCCTTAATATAATCAAAATACTGACACAAATGCTTAATTTTTACCTTTACTCCTCGTGCCTTGAGAGCCTTTCCTAGTCCTTCAATGAAATCTTATGTTGGCTCATTTCTTGACCCATAATCGCTGTTCACTTACCCGAGGGATGCAGACGCAGCAGGTTCCCACGTCGTTCCCTCTTTTCTTTTCCTTTCTGCTGGCCACTCGAATGGTGTCCTTCATTGGATCCCCTGTTCTCGAGCCCCACGTTGGGCGCCACTTGACCCGTCCTGCAGGTCGAGCAACGAGGACTCTAGAGGGGGAGTGAGGATGAGGAGGGACAAGAGACACGAGAAATGGAGACAAGACAGGGCTCTGATCAAGTCTTGTTTATTCTGGGGAAATCCACACAATATATAGGGCAAGAAGCAGAAAAACAAGAACATTTGTTGCCAAGCGATGATAAGTTTGTGGTAACCACCCTGAAGCAATTTCAAGTAAATATCACGGGGTGGAACAAAAGATAAACAGAGTATAACTGGCTGAGTAAATGGTTACTTAAAGGAATGCAGAAACATAGTATGCAGAGATATTCTGCCTTGGGGCAGGAGATGGCAGAACAGATTTTAACAAAATGGATGCCATGCAAAAAGTCTCCCACACAGAATGACTTTTAAAACATTGTATTGTGACCCATGATATAGTATTCAAAAAAAATTTAATAAGTTCTACTTTTCTTCATGGATCTGAATTTCTGTGTGCAATCTTAATTTTTCTCCCATTTACTTGGGTATGGTAAAGAGTGCCATCTCTTACTCATTTGTTTTCCTGGGCCAGCCTGCGCAGAATTAAGGATGCTGATGGTATTCTATGTTAATGCATTTGGGGACTAAATACAGCCAGTTATCAGTTGTTTAAAAATTTAAGCACTTCTAGCAGGGCCTAATGTAATGGCATGCAAATAGGGTGGATTTTGACTGCAATTTAAATCAAGTTAAGTGTGCCACTCTAATTTTTAAGGTCTTTTAAAATTCAATATGGCTTTAAATGAGATACATTTCAAGACCTCTGAAGTATCTAATGGATTAAAATTCTAGAAGATAAAAGCCTCTGTATTCTTGATGGTTTACTTGGCCAAATAATTGTTTCACATTTCAGATGCAGTTGTCATTTACATCTTTGGAACAAGAGCTAGAGCGATTAAGAAGAGAAAATAAAGATGTTGAAAATGTATGTTATTTCATTGTTTGAGTTGGAACCTATGGACTCTATTTTAGTATTAAGGTTTTCCTTAAGATCTGTGTTTTAAGATTTCTTTACTGATGATGGCAGTTGTGCGCTTAAGAATATTTTCATAGTTTTTGAGATGATAATAGTTTTATATTCGTAAGTGTCATAACTCTCCACTGTGGGGAAGCATCATGAAAGGAAATCTTAAATGTGTTTGTTAACTTTTTTTCTTTGTTGCATTGTTAGCTGAGAAGAGAACGAGAGAATTTGGAAATGGAACTAGAGAAGGCAGAAATTGAACGATCTACCTATGTCACAGAAGTCAGAGAGGTACTTATAGTAGAATTTTTTCAACTTTGCTTCTCAATTTAAATTAAGTTTATAACAGAGTGATAAAATATTTCAGTATAAGTTGTTTGTGGCAGAGCTTCCAAGTAGCATACATAACATGGGCTACCATAAGGAGATCAATCTTAAACTCTAAACTTCATTGCAGCTGAAAGATCTGTTGACTGAATTGCAGAAAAAACTTGATGATTCATATTCTGAAGCAGTAAGACAGAATGAAGAGCTAAATTTGGTAAGAAGCTTGTTCTCCACTGGGTATCAAGTAGGCTCTGAAAACACTTGTGTTGACATGTGGAGAAACCATCAAAACTTTTTCTCCTTGCTAACATCTTTAGCTTGCCATTTTTGTAAGTTTAAGATCATCTTCATATTCTGATGACTCCTAAAATGATCTTTCTTTTCTTGATTCCTAAAATGATACTTCTTTTCTTAGCTGCTAACAATGGCATGTTTGGCTTGCAACTCTTTCTCAAAAATATTTTCTGTGTTTTATAAAACCTAATTTATTGAGCAGCATTATGAATAAAGAAATGAAACAAGCTGATTAAGGCTGACTGAGTTGTGAAGGTTCCCTTCACAGAGTTACCATGATTAACTAGACCTCTTATTATTTAACCTGGATAATCCAATCCAGGTTCTTATTTTGCTGGTCTTTGTATAGATTATAGATAACAAAAAGCTTGTGCAGTTCTTCATCATCAATATATCATTTAGGGCATAGTAATCACAAAGCTATAGACTTAAAGATTTAGCTAAAGTTAGATAAATGTCTATAACGACATAGAATATTCTTCATTCCCATTCTTAAATTTCCAGAAATGCATACTGATTGTGACAGGCTTAGTTGTTAGATAAATATAACTATCTTAAACTTACATTTTTCCATGACTTAAAAATTGTTATAGCATGTGATGAGATTTATTTTAAGTACTTGAATAAACTCTAGGAAGATGATAGTAAGTTTTCTCCTTCCCCCCACGTTAATCCTGCCCAGTTTGGAATATTCTTACTAGTACTGCTGTATGTACCAGAGAAAACTTATTAACTCATTCATTTGTGGTTGGTCTTCTGTGTTATGGTAGTGATTTATGGAAATCAGTTTTCCGAATTGTTATGGTAGTGATTTATGGAAATCAGTTTTCCGAATTGGGCTCTACGGAATATGCACATAGAGCCTTCCCCCAACATCTTTAGTTTTTAAATAAAATTTTTGTTTTATTTACCTTCATTTTATCTTAATTGAATCATTCCCACTGCAGTGGAAGACTAGTTCATTACATATGTTTGTTATACATTGCACAGATCAGGACTGTGGTATGCCACAGCTATAAGCCTTACTCTATAATGTGTTTTTAGACATTAACTTCTACAGTTGTTGGAGATAATACTTTTTACTTTGGCACTTGGAGGCTGACTCCAGCAGTGGCATCAAACCCACAGGATTATGGTTGAGTCTTCATTCAGCCTGATGTTCTCTTTGTACTTTTTGCTTCTTGACATCAGTCAGGAGGCCATTTTGAATTTTTTTTTTTTTTAAATCCTCACCCAAGGACATTTTTTTTTCTTTTTTTGCATTTATCCTCAGATAGAGCAGGAGGGAGAGAGAGAGAGAGAAACATCGATGTGAGAGAGACACATCGAGTAGTTGCCACTCACACGACCCCAACCGGGACCTCGGGACAAACTGCAACTGATGTGCGTTCCCTTAAACTGAAGCCGGGACTTTCTGGTTCACGGTCCGACACTCTAACTGCTGAGCCAAACTGGCCATGGGTTTTTTTTTTTTGTCTTGAGTTTATAATTTTTATTTTAGTTTTTCTGTTTGTTTGCTCAGGAGAACTGTTGCCACATCTTAAGATAAATTAACACAATGTTTGCCTGCACATATATTGTGTGTTCTTGGGCCAAAAGAATAATCTCTCTGGTATGTTAAACCAGAGTTAAGGAAAGGAGCAAAAACTGAAGAAGTTGAGTATTTAAATGAATGTTATAAATAACATTTCCAAATGAATGTTGCTCACTGATTCTCCCTCCAGTTCAAAATGTCATCATCTTGTATTTCCCCCTTTTGGGTGTCCAGACCTATTTGGAATGTCATGCCTATGGGTGGGAGGCTAAATCAATTAACTTGGTGAGTTTAAATAAGAAAGTTATTTTTTTGTCAGTGTAGTCCATTTCCCTTATTCATATTTAATTAGAACAGTTATTAAGACTAGAGGCATTCTACATTGGCTCTAGAGTTTTATAGAGCTTTATTACTGTTTTGCCAAGTTGGTTATTGAGAAGTATATCTTAAGACATTACTTCTTGGTATTATTAAGCCAGTGTGGTCTTGCACTGATCTCTTCAGTGACATCTTAAAGGATAATCAACATTTAAGTTTTTGAAGTTTTCATTTTATTGGATTTGTAATCTTCTGTTCAGTGTCTTTTAAAATATTACACATTGACTTTTTTTTAACGGTATAGTCAAGAAAATCTTTAAAAACTAGTAAAATTTCTGACTACTTGCCTTTTGATTTGGAATAACTAAAATATGAACGAACTACTTTATGAACAGTGAATAGTAATACTTTTTAAAGGCCCTTGGCTAGAATTTGATGGTTTTGTTTTTACATTTGCAGTTTTCTCCTCTAAATGGTAGTTTGTTTCTATAGCTTTTCTTACATATAACTTTACAGATGGGAGCCTTCAATGCTTAGCTTCTATACATCTGGTGCAGTATTTTGGCTAACCCACTGTGCGTAATAACTGTTACAGATACCATTCTTTCTTATTCATTCTTCGGTCCTGGAGGTCTAAACATAATCAAAGAAGGATGAAAATAAAGTTAATTATGGTGTTGCTTTATTTTTACAGTTAAAAACACAGTTAAATGAAACACGCACAAAACTTAGAACTGAACAAAGTGAAAGACAGAAGGTAGCTGGTGACTTGCACAAGGTAAGGAAGACACTGCTTGTCCAGAAGATGTTATATCATCATGTGATGTGCCTTGAATCTTAAGCAAGCATACTGCTAATTCTGCATTTGTTTTTTGCGTTATTACATTAATTTGTTTATAAATTTAAATTATATAGTTTTTGGAACTATGGCTTGTTTTTCTGTTCTTAATTTGCTTCATCATTTCATCACATTTGTGTAATTGCTTTATACAGTATAGAATAATCTTTAATTGAAGTTCTTTTTTTAAAATTTGTTTACATCTATATATTTGCGGGGGTTACCTTATGTAGTTGTTTATCTTCATGGATATAAAAGATGTATATAGACCTCTGTGTTTCAGAATTTTGTTCCTTTCATTTATTTTTTTGTAGAAATACATTTTTCTTAATATCATAAACAGGCAGTTTTTAGGGCTACGTTTTTTATTCTTTGCATTAGGTTATTTGTAATTTTGAAATATTTTTCAAAGTGTAATTTACGTGTTTATTATCAAAGCTGTTTTAGAGCTATGATTGTGTTCATGGGACATGTAGTCATTAGTAAAACAAATATGTCACTTTTTCAAAAGTTGAAAGAAATGTTTTTGTTGGTTCTGTATGATGTTATGCAAAAATCTAGGAATCCAGAATTGTTTCAAATTATTTTGGTGTTATTATTACCAGTTGATAAAATGTGAACTTAGGAAGTTTGTTTTAGACTTCAAAACTTAGGTACACGATACATTGTCGGGGCTGAGCAGTCCAATTTACTTTGATATGTGATTTTAATTTTGGACCTCTTGATCAGATATGTAAAACATGCAGTTTTAGCCTGGCAATTTAGTTTCTCAGAACATACTTTAAGGACATGAAACAGGTGTATTCATAGATAATGGATAATGCCATGTTTGCCCTAATATGTACAGAAGAGAAATCTAGACCAGAAGTCTGCAAAACCACAAACTATTGCAGGATTTGTGGGCCATTTATGATTTCTCTCACATACTATTTTTTGTTTGTTTAATATAACCCTTTACAAATGTGAATACCATTTCTAGCTTGTGAGCTGTGCAAAAACAGGCTGTGGCCAGACTTGGCTGATCCCCTAATCCGGACTAATGTTAACCTAAATATCAATTGTGTATTGTTTGAACTTTTTAAGATAGTGAGCCATGTGTTCTTATAATCTGGTGGGGGAGGAAGCTGATTTTATTTTGGAGAAAAAACTGAATAGATTGCTTTTACATTGTGTTTTTAGAAGACCTTTATTCTTGTATAAAAGATGTAAGAAAATCACTCATTTTTTTTCTTATATATATTTAATTGTCAGTTGTATTATGTGAAGCTACCATATTGCTTTCCTCACAGGCTCAACAGTCTCTGGATCTTATCCAGTCAAAAATAGTAAAAGCTGCTGGAGACACTACTGTTATTGAGAATAGTGATGTTTCCCCAGAAACGGTATGCATTTTTTTCTTTCTTTATTTTTGTTTTATACATTTTTTTTTTCCTTTAATTGATTTTAGAGAGGGAAAAAGAGGGAGAGAGATATAGAAACATCAATGAAAGAGAACATTGATTGGCCGCCTCCTGCATGTCCCCCACTGGGGATTGGGCCCATAACCTGAACATGTGTCCTGACTGGGAATTGAATCAGCAACCTCTTGGTGCATGGGTTGATGCTCAGCCACTGAGCAACACTGGCTGGACTATATTTTCTTTAACTTCACATCTCTGGGTTAATTACCTTATAAATTATGTGAAGAATAAAACATGTACAAGATCCATTTATGACTTAAAAAATGCCTTTGTAGCCCTGGCTTGATGGGTGGCTCATTTGGTTAGCACATCATCTTGTACAAACAAAAGTTTATAGGTTCAATTCCCAGTCAGGGCACATACCTAAGTTATAGGTTTGATCCCTGGTCAGGGCCTGTACACTGGAGGCAACCAATTGATGTTTCTCTCTTACCGATCCGTCTCTTTCTCTCTCTCTGCCTCCCTTCACCCCCTGCCCCCAAATCATTTAAAGAAAAACACACCACCAAACATATCCTCAGGTGAGGATTTAAAAAAATGCCTTTGTGATGTGCTTCCATCAGTCATGTTGCTTTCTTAACTGACGTTCTATCTCTGAAATGCAATGTGTTTATTAATGTATGTTTTCACTTTACCTTAGTGAGATATTATGTTAATTTTAAGGTTTGTGTTGGGAGGTACTATGATATGCTGCTTAAGAGTATAGACTACAACCAATGTTTCTCTCACATCATTGTTTCTATCTCTCTCCTATCCTTTCTCTCTAAAAAAAATCAATAAAAACGTATTGAAAAAAAAATACTATAGACTATTAGACTGCCTATGTTAGAATCATGGTCCTGCTACTTAGCAGTTGTGTGACTGGGCTAATTCCTAAGTCTCTCTCTGGTTTAGTTGTCCTATTTGTAAAAGGCAACTAAATGATAATGGTACCTATATTGTAAGATTGTTGAAAGGAATGAGTTACTATATTATACACTTAAAATACTAACACAGCAGTGCTTACCATCTTAGTAAGAATGCAATATATGTTTTCTGTTATTTTTATTGTTGTTATGAATGATCTCTTCTTTGATGGCCTGCAAATTTTGTTCTGAGAGGAGAAATGAATTTATATATTTTAAGTTTTTCTCTTTGTGGCCCAGTGATTACATTTATGACAGATTTCTTTGCTGCAGACTAATTTGTGTCATGAGGTAGCAAACATTCTTTCTCTGGTTTTTGTTGTTGACTTTCATGTCAATTTTCAGATTTTTTATGTTGTATACAAAACAAAATTTTTCTATTTTTGGTTGCAAATGGCCTTTTCTTGTGTTTGGAATTTTTCACTACTTCCATCTTTTTTTTTTTTTTAGGAGTCTTCTGAGAAGGAGACAATGTCTGTAAGTTTAAATCAGACTGTAACACAGTTACAACAGTTGCTTCAGGCAGTAAACCAACAGCTCACAAAGGAGAAAGAACACTGCCCTGTAGTAGGTAAGAATAACTGAAATTAAGTTACTGTCTTTCTATGGGTAAGAGGAGATAAATGAAATGCAGTTAAGCAGGTTATCAGAGGTAGAGTTCAGAGTGATGATAATGAGGAAACTTAACAGCATGAGTAAAGATATAGAAACATTGAAAATAAACCAATTGGAAATGAAAAGCCACCAAGCAGAAATGAAGAATGACATAGAAGACATAAAGAACATATTGGAAGTAATAACCAGCAGAGTAGAGGAAGCCGAGGATCGGATCAGTAAATTAGAAGATAAGGCAGAAAAAAATCACCCAATCAGTGAACCAAAAAGAAAGAACAATTGAAAACCAGGAAGAGCCCTGGCCAGTTTGGCTCTCAGCGGTTAGAGTGTTGGCCTGCGGTCCAGAGAGACCAGGGTTCGGTTCCCGCTAGGGGCATGGACCTCTATTGTAGTTTGTCCCTGGCCCTGGTTGGGTCATGCGAGTGGCAACCACTTGATGTGTCCCTTTCACATCGATGTTTCTCTCACTCTCTCTTTCTCCTACTCTATCTGAACAAAATATGGAAAAATGTCCTCGGGTGAAGATTAAAAAAACCCCAAAACACAGGAAGACAGCTTAAGAGATCTGTGGGACAACATAAAACGTAACAACATCTGCATCATAGGAGTTCCAGAAGAAGAAAATGAGCAAGGGTTAGAGAATATATTTGAAGAAATAGTGACAGAAAACTTTCTTAACTTGGTGAAGGAAAAAGGCATACAAGTATAACAAAGCACAGAAAGTTCAAAATAAGAGGAACTCAAAGAGGCCCACACCAAAACACATAATTTAAGTGCTAAAAATTAAAAACAGACTGAATCCTAAAGGCAGCAAGAGATAAGCAACCGGTTACCTACAAAGGAACCCTCTAAGGCTATTAGCTGATTCTTAACAGAAACACTACAGGCCCGAAGGGAATGGCATGAAATAATCAAGGTCATGAAAAATAAGGATCTGAATCCAAGACTATCCAGCAAGGCTATCATTCAAAATAGAAGGTGAAGTAAAGAGCTTCCCAGACCAAAAAAAAGCTAAGGGAATATATTAGCACCAAAGCAGCACTGCAAGAAATGTAAAAAGAACTACTGTAATTAGTAGAAGAAATAGGGAAAAAAATATAACCACACTAAGTAAAAATGGCAATAAATAAGTACAAATCAATGATAACCTTAAATGTAAATGGATTGATTGCTCCAATCAAAAGACATAGAGTAGCTGATTGGATAAGAAAGCGTGACTCATATGTATGTTGTTCACGAGAGACCCACCTCACAACAAAAGATTCACAGAGGTTGATAATGAAAGGATAGAAAAAAAATCTTCCAAGCAAACGGAAAGGAAAAAAGAGCTGGGGTAGCAGTACTCATACCTGATAAAATAGACTTCAAAATGAAGGCTATAACTAGAGACAAAGAAGGCACTACATAATATTGAAAGAATGTATCCAACAGGAAGATATAACCATGGTAAACATGTGCATTCAATATAGGAACACCAAAATATCTTTAAAAACTTCTGGAGGACTTCAAAGGAGAAATCGACAACAATACAATCATAGCAGGGGACTTCAGCACCCCGCTGACATCACTGGATAGATCCTCTAGACAAAAAATGAGCAAGAGACTCTAAATGATAAACTTGATCAAATGGATTTAATAGATATCTACAGAGAATTATACCCCAAACTGCAGCATTCACATTATTCTTAAGTGCACATGGGACATTCTTAAAGATAGACCACATGTTAGGACACAAACTAAGTCTTGACTAGTTCAAGAAGATTGAAATCATATCAAGCATTTTCTCAGATCACAGTGGCATGAAACTAGAAATCAATTACAACAAAAACATGCAAAAACACCTGGAGGCTAAATAGCATGTTACTAAACAATGAATGGGTTACCATGGAGGTCAAGGGAGAAATTAAAAACTTCGTGGAAACCAATGAAAATGAACACACAACAACACAAAATCTATGGGACACAGTGAAAGCAGTTCTGAGAGGGAAGTTTATAGCACTACAGGCCTACTTCAAGAAACAGGAAAATTTTCTAATTGACTAACCTCACAAATTAAAGAACTAGGAAGCAGCCCTGGCCAGTTTGGCTCAGCGGTAGAGCATTGGCCTGCGAACCAAAGAGTCACAGGTTTGATTCTGGTGAAGGGCACATACCTTGGTTGCAGTTTGTCCCCAGCCCTGGTCAGGGTCGTGTAGGAGACAACCAGTTAATGTGTCCCTCTCACGCTGATGTTTCTCTTTCCTTTTCTCTCCCTCTCTCTCTCTCCCACTCTGTCTGAAGATAAATAGCAAAATATCCTTGGGTGAGGATTAAAAAAGTAAACAAACAAACAGAACTAGAAAGCAAACAAGAGAGAAACCCAGAGCAAGTAGAAGGAAAGAAATAGTAAAGATCAGAGTAGAAATAAATGACATAGAGACTAAAAGTATAATTCAAAAGTTCAATGAAATGAAGAGCTGGTTCTTTGAAAAGATAAACAAGATTGATGGACCCTTACTTAGCTAGACTCACCAAGAAACAAAGAGAGAGGACCCAAATAAACAAAATCAGAAATGAAAGGGGAGAAGTAACAACGGACACTACAGAAATACAAAAGATCATTAACAAATGCTATGAACAGTTATACAGCAACAAATGGAACAATCTATGTGAAATAAATTTCTAGAAACACATAGTTTCCCAAAGCTGAACTAGGAAGAGAGAAAACTTGAACAGACCAGTAACAACTAAGGAAATTGAAGACGTATCAAGAATCTCCCAGCAAACAAAAGCCCCAGCCTGGACAGCTTCACCAGGGACTTTTACCAAACATTCAAAGAAGAATTAACACCCGTTCTTCTCAAACTTTTCCAAAAAATTCAAGAAGAAGGAAGACTTCCATACTTGTTTTATGAGGCCAGCATAATTCTAATTCTAAAACCAGATAAAGACACTACAAAGAAGGTAAACTACAGGCCAATATTCCTGATGAACATAGATGCCAAAATCCTGAACAAAATACTAGCAAATCAGATCCAGCAATACATTTAAAAGATGCAAAGCTGGTACAATATTCACAAACCAATTAATGTGATACACCACATAAATAAAGTGAAAGATAAAAAAATATGATCATATCAATAGATGCTGAAAAAGCGTTCGACAAAATCCAGCACCCATTTCTGATAAACATGCTTAGCAGTGTTGGAACACAGGGATCATGTCTTGACATAATAAAGGCTATATATGAAAAACCTATAGCCAACATACTCAGTGAGAAAAACTAAAAGCATTTCCCTTAAGAACATGAACAAGACAGAGATGCCCACTTTTGCCACTCTTACTTAACATAGTACTGGAAGTATTAGCCACAGCAATTAGACATGAAGAAAAAATAAAAGGGATCCTAATTGGAAAGGAGGAAGTGAAACTTATTATTCGCATTTAACATGATATTGTACATAGAAAACCGTAAAGACTCTCAAAAATCTACTAGATTTAACAACAAATTTGGCACAGTAGCAGGATACAAAATTAATATCAAGAAATCTACAGCATTCTTTTTTTTTTTTATCCTCACCTGAGGACATTTTTCCATTTTTTGTTCAGGTAGAGTGGGAGGGAGAGAGAGGAACAGAGAGAGAGAAACATCGACGTGAAAGGGACACATCGAGTGGCTGCCCCCCCCAGGGTCAACCAGGGCCGGGGACAAATTGCAACTGAGGTATGTGCCCTTAGCGGGAACCGAACCCGGGTCTCTCCAGACCGCAGGCCAATGCTCCAACCGCTGAGGCAAACCGGCCAGGGCATCGTGAATCTTTTAAAACTACTGGATGATTAAGTTGTAAATATACTTAAATAATCAGGATGTAGGTAATAGGTTAATATCTGATATCAAGAGACTTCTTGTTTTTAGTATAAACTGTAAGTACATGTGAATTGTTTAATATAATGCTATACATTATCAGTAAGGGAAAAGCTATTTTTATTTTTTTATTATTATTTTTTAAATCCTCACCTGAGGATATACTTCCATTTGTCTTCAGATAGAGCGTGGGGGGGGGGGGGCACATTGATGTGAGAGAGACACGTCGATTGGTTGCCTCTTGTACAACCCTGACCAGGGCCTGGGACTGAACCGAGGTATGTGCCTTTGACCAGAATCAAACTCATGACTCTGGTCTGCATGCTGACGCTCTAACCACTGAGCCAAACAGGCCAGGATGGGAAAAGCTGTTTTTAAAAGACAAAAATTTGAGAGGGGATATGTGATAATTTAGTTTCCTAATTTCTAATGCACAGTACTTAGCATTTCTGTAGGGATAGGAATATTTATCTTATATCCTTAATTTGTAAAACCTTAACCTTTCTTTTCATTTGGAAGTCTTTCTACCCATCTCTTATCCCCTCCCCCCTGTACCTCCAAAAAAGAAGGCTGTCAACCCCCTGCTTTTTTTTTTTTCAATCCTCACCTGAAGATATTTTTCCATTTATCTTCAGATAGAATGGAAGGGAGAGAAAGAGAGAGAGAGAGAAACATTGATGTGAGAGAGACTCATCAATTGGTTGCCTCCTGCATGACCCTGACCCCAGGGTATGTGCCCTTGACTGGAATCCAACCCACTACTCTTTAGTTTGCAGGTAGGCGCTCTAACTGCTGAGCCAAACCGGCCAGGGCATCCCCTTGCTTTTTTAAACATTAAGGTAATTGCTTGTAGCTTTGGATTGGCATACTAATGGTTTATAGTATACTTTTTTGTTCCCAGATACCTACTTTTCCTTGTTTCATATTTGCCTGCCTTCTTAGTGTTCTAAGTGTGCACCTGACCATATCAGAAAACTTCATCACCACAGTGTTTTGATCTGTTTGGACCACTATAACAAAAATCCATAGACTAAGTGGCTTAAATAACAATTTATTTCTCACAGTTCTGGAGGCCAGGGAGTCCAATATCAAGGTGCCAGAAGATGCTATTT